GACAATGACAATGACAATGACAATGACAATGACAATGACAATGACAATGACAATGACAATGACAATGACAATGACAATGACAATGACAATGACAACAACAATGGCAATGACAATGGCAATGACAATGGCAATGACAATGGCAATGACAATGACAACAACAATGACAACAACAATGGCAATGGCAAAGGCAATGGCAAAGGCAATGGCAAAGGCAATGGCAAAGGCAATGGCAAAGGCAATGGCAATGACAACACAGAGGATCCACCAGCCTTCTTTGCAACACATCTAGCAGCAGCAGTCCAAGCAGCGCATCCAAGCAAGAAAGCTTCAAAGCAGCATCATGTCCAGTCAGTCCACCAAGCAAAGGAACATGTCCAAGCAAAAGAATGCATGATCCAGTCCAACAAGCAATGTGTCAACAACAATGAAGACACATCAGACACCACCAGCAGTCAGCACACCAACCACCATCATGCCCAGGGGATCAGCTCAACGCTGCGTGCTCTTCTTCCAACCAACCATCAATGTGCTCAGTCCTAAAGTATGATAGGCACATGAATCAAATCCCAGTAAAAAGACAAATTCAGTGATACAGAGGAGTGGGGGGGGTCAAAGAAGTATTCATCAATATTCATGTATGTATATCCAGCATTGCTAATGTACAACTGGGTTGTCTTTTTTGCTTGGTCAAGCCTATAGTAGGATAATTATGACAGTATTTTAAGAGATATTATAGGGGGACAAGTAGTTAGCAGCTACCATACCAGTAACTCATAGTAGTAGTAGTATCTACAGACACCTTATCAGCACATCCCCTCCGTATCAGTGGGCCTCCTCTGTATCAGCAGCTACTCTGTAGTATCAGTATCCTTGGTATCAGTGGACACTGTATCAGCTAGCACCCTCTGTATCAGCATCTTTCTCCATCCATATCAGCAAGTTTCCTCAGTATCAGTATCCTACTTGTATCAGTAGTGAGCCTCTGTATGAGCGGAAGCCATATCAGCAGTTCCTCCATATCAGCAATTCATATCAGTGACTCGTATCAGCATCTGTAGCAGCATCCTCTGTAACAACAACTCCTATCATCCCCCGTAGCAGTATCCTTTGCGTCAGCATCATTTGCATCAGCAAGCCTCTATATCAGCAACTTGTATTACTAGCATCCTCCATATCAGCAGGTCCTCTGTATCAGCAACTCCTATCAGTGACTCAAGCATCCTCCATATTGGCACCTCCTCTGTATCAGCATCCTCCATCATTCATGAGGCGGGAAAGGATGTGCACAAGCAAAAATAGCTTGAATGGGAGAAAGCAAAGAAGCAGAGTCTTCTTTCCCTTGGAAGGCAACTAGAGTCCACCTGCAATGACCTCAAGCTTCAGCAGCACGTAGTTGCAACAATGCAGAAAATGCAGCAACAGCAACGCGGTCAGTACTAGATGTATCTTGTTATGTACTATGTATGACCAACAGGCAGTTTGTTTGCTGTTTTGCTGTTATGGACTTAAGGGGAGCTTTTACTGCTGCTAGTGAGGAGCAAAAAGCTCCCAGTAAAAGATCAGTTGCATAATATATAGTAGCTTGGAAAAAGAATAATATATTCTTGATGTTTGATCATTAATTTCTTTTATAAACTAATCCTTATTGGCATAACAACTACTACTAGAAGCGCAAAACAATAATATATTTATAGCTAATCATTGCTGAACTAGTTCATAAAATTAATAATCAGTAGATTTGATCTGGTGCTGATACATCATTATTTTAGTCAAATACTTAATAGAATGCTTTTTGGAAGGTTCTAGTACAAGCCAAGCACAATAAGTATATAAAAAGGCTGAACCAAAGAACAACACATTAAAACCTTGGAAATCTGCTCACAAAATACTACTAGTACGCTTTGCAGTAGAAATATTACATAGGAAAAAAAATCAAAATTTAGCAGTCTGGTTGGTGCCTTGATTTCCAATTTTGCTGTAGAATCCTACAGAAAATTTGTACCAGAAACTTAAATTTAGTCCACATTTTCATTGAAACAGCAGGAAAAGCAGCAACCAGGGAGGATCAGGGAGTGACAAAAAGAAGAACTCATTCCCCTACACTGGAGGAGACAACACTTGTAGTTTGTTTGCAGCATCCACCAGAGGGACTAACAGGGAGGGACAACACCAAGAGCCCATTCCCCTATATTGTGGAGGCAGTGCTTGTAGTTCTTTTGCAGCATCTGGAGGGACCGGGAGGGAAAAGAGCCCATTCACTTGTAGTAGTTCATTTGCCACTGTGGTGTGCACACCAGTAGTGTTACGACACTGCTGCTACTAGTACTCCTCAATCGATTACATAATTAACTGTGGCCTCACATCCGTCCCATGCATCAAGTCCCAAGTACTACTATCTTCAGCAACACCAACAAGAACAAGCTCTTGAGATAAAGCTCTCAAGCTTGTTGGTGGTGTTGCTGAAGATACTAGTAGTAGTAGTACTTCCAGTAACCTCACTTCGGTCTCAAGCTATTTAGCTCTCGAGCCCACAGAACAAAACTCACGATACTGTAATAACACCACCAGGTACAAAACTATGGGGGTTACATTTTTGGTACAGGCGCGGACCATGCAACGACACAGCTATCATACCTGTCTGGGGCTCGGACAGATGGTTCTTGTGTGTGTGACCACCGATGTTCAATTGCGCAAATTTGATGAAAATTACCCATCAGGAAATAAAAATCAATCAATGGGGTTCAAGGACCCACATTGATCTCATACTTTTCTATTTTATCTAACCAATAGGGCAGATTTTACATATTTTACACATTCTCTTTAAGGTTTCATGCATCAAATGACGTACACATACGGCATCTGATACATTGAATCAACATAATGTAGAAAAATAGCACGCCTAAAAAAATTATCACCATGGTGGTGATGAATTTTTATTGGAAGGGTGTCATAACCTGTGGGAGTGACTGTCCTAAAGTGATGTAAAGTGTGTGCTAGTAGAAAAGTGAGTCGATACTCTTATCGAGGATCGACGAACTATGAAATCTAGAATGGATCACTGTGTGGATCGAGTGAGGTGTGAATCGAATGAGTCAAGTCACTCACGCAAGTGAATGAAATGAACCATGTCAATCAATTGGATCCATGGGATCGAGGAGTGAGTCATGAATGTAGAGTGTGTATGAATCATAGATACGTATCGTATGTATGTGTCGTATGTATGAATCATACCCACGGTCTGATATCCTACGGACAACACTCCTGTAGTTTACACAAAAGTACCATGCTTACTACAGAGCCGTTTAGAATACAAGATGGCAGATCAAGGATCCAAGGGTCCAGAACAGGAGGACAATCCAAGGATTGGACCGATTCCCGACATCATCAACAGGGAAAATGGAAGCGGGGGGAGACAAGAAGGTCACTCCCGGTGGAGCCACCAAAAAGCAACAGGTGCAATTTGAGGCAAGCTCCTCACGAAAGGAAGATGAATGGACCAAACAAAGAAACAGACCAAAGCAAAAGAGGACACAAACAACACAGATACCAAAAAATTGGATGGAATTGGCCTGAAGCAAACAGCCGCACAGGCTCTTGGAAATTGAGGCTCTAAGAAATGACAAAAAGACCAGTGGTGGTGAGAGACATTGTGCTTGACATTTTGGTATGACCGTCAAATGAAGTTGTTGTGCATGGAATGTACTAAGAAATAATGAATTGACCAAGGGGGGGGTGAGGTTGTTTGATTTTGATAGTTGCAGATTTGCCCTGTGCAAACTAAGACAGCAGAAAATACTGACACATATTGGGGGTAAGTGTAGCCTCCATAACTAAATTTCAGTTTAGCGGAAAATACATATGTATCTAAATTTTGGGTTGGCTGGAAGTTATCATCATGGATAGTAGAATTTTAGTTTAGACGGACGAGGTTCTACATGAAATTAAATGTAGAGATGGAAGTTAGTAGTATAGATGAAATTAAAAATAGAGAAAGCATGGGATGTTGCTTATGTGGATGAAATGACTGTTGGCGATGGGAGAAAACAAGAAATTAGGGAATGTTGAGCTAAGTAGGTTTATATTAGAGGACGGTATGATTTTTAATAATTTTACAATTGCCAATGCAAACAGGTAGAGTTAGGATTATTTACATGCTGTAAGAACCAGTTCTCGTTTTCTACCTCATGAATAGCTAGCTACTCGTTGTGATTTAGCATCACAGCGAGTTCCGTTTGTGAAAACACAAATATTCGCATCAATTACTACCAACCACCATAACGGACCAAACTTGTTTCTTGCTTTGGTCTCGATTAGGATGCCACAATATTATCTCCTGCAGTAAATTATCTTTAATCTCAGGCACAAGCAGTCGACAATGGTCAGCTCTACTAAGAAAGAGTCCAGCGTCATTGGCAACGATTCGGAAGTCGAGTACTTGGACTATTGCTCCCTGTCAATAGACGAAATCCGAAAGATGGCAGCGGGAAACGACGAAGAGCGCAAGCGTCATTTCGTACCACTCTCCAAGGTCAAGAAGGGGGACGTCTTGAAAGTTGAAAAGATGACATTCTTCGCGGAGGCTCTTTGTGTTCTTTTTTTGGCCTTCGTCGTTCCGAATGGGGTTTTTACTTTGCCACCAGCCATCGCCTTGATCGGAAAATTAGTTTTGGGCGATGTTAAAATGGCGTTTAAGATTTTTGGGATGTTCCTTCTGCCCTTAGCGATTTTGCCACAAGAATTTGTTCCTACCAGTCTGCAAAGCTATCTTGCCATTCAGGTTTCCAAGTATTTCTCATTCCGTTTCGTAGTGGAGAAGAGACCACCACCGCCGGAACCAACCAACAAAAACTACCATTCTGGCATATATGTAGCACCTCCTCATGGTGTTTTCCCGTACGGAAACATTCTCAGTATGCTCGGATTTCCAACAATGTTTGGCCATCACTTTCGAGGACTTGCTTCTTCTGCTGCTCTGCGCCCTCCGATTTTCAAACAGGTCCTCCGTTCCATAGGGACGATCGATGCCTCGCGACACGTTGCACGGAGCGCACTGGAAGGCGGCGAAAGCATTGGAATATCCACGGGAGGAGTTGCAGAAATATTTTTTACCAATGAAAAGGATGAATGTATCTTGCTAAAAGAAAGAATAGGGCTGATCAAACTAGCGATTCGGACTGGCGCCGATCTCGTGCCGTGCTATCTGTTTGGGAATACGACGCTCCTAAATTGCTGGGCTGGCGAGGGAATTCCAGGAGCGACAACTGTTTTGGAGAAATTCTCTAGGAAATTGGGGTTTGCCCTTATTTTGATTTATGGGCGTTTTTTCTTGCCCATTCCCTTCCGTAAGCCCATTCTTGCTGTGATGGGAAAGCCAGTACACACACATCACGTGAAAGGAGAGGACCCAACCCCCGAGCAAATTGAGATGATTCAAACCCAGCTTCTCACGGAAGTGGAACGAATCTTCAATACGTACAAACATCTCTACGGATGGGACGAGAAAAAGATTATCATCAAATAGCAGAGATGAGTTCTTTCTTTCAAAAAGTAGAGAAACAATAAATAATACAATATCACTTGTTTATGATGTGATTGACAGCCCTTTCCGTCCCCATTGCTCGAGCTTGTCATAATTATACTTGCCGCAATATCTAATCGCCGTTAAATATATCCCACAACGTCGTCAGTATGCTACTGCCAGCTTCGGCAGCCTCTTCCGTCGCGCCCGAGTCGAAAATTTCAGCGTCATCGCCACCAAAAAACTCGCCTTCTTGCTGTTCAAAATTTTCGTCTCGAAAGGTATTGCCGGTAGAAAAAGAAGTATCGTCCGAAAACGAAGGTCCCGAAAAGTCCGTTCCGTCGTCCTGGAAAGTAGTTTCTTGAAATGCATCATCAATTTCGCTGCTGACAGCGTTTGAGAACGTTGTCGAAGCATCGTCCATCGTGGTGGTTGCTTCTTGGTCAATTGGCAAACCTTCGTTCGCTGCTGCAACTATTTCTTCCCCGGAATCGACATCGGTGGTGCCCGGGACATCGATTGGTGCCCCGGCACCACCCTCGGCACCTTCCGCTCCTCCCCCGGTCCCCCCCATACCGCCAACAGGTATCACAGGACCGAAACCACCACCGGATGGAATACGACTCGCGATCTCTGCAATCATTCGATCCGGTGGCATGCCCTGCAGCCAACAACGTCCGGGACCCGTCAGTGTCGTAACGAACAGTCCCTCGCCTCCGAACACGACGTTTTTCACTCCTTGCATCATTTGAATATCGTACGACACGGTCGGCTCAAAAGCAACAATGGATCCAGATGTTGCGCGCAAAACCTCTCCCTCTTCTAATTCCCGTTCGATAAGAGTTCCTCCTGCTTTGATCAATACATCGCCTGCTCCCACCAAGCGCTGCAAAATAAAACCCTGTCCTCCAAAAAACCCAGCGGTCATCGTTTTCGTGAACTCCATTTGTATGTCTACCGTCGTATTGCTTGCAAGAAATGCACCTCTCTGGGCAATTAGGCTTCCTCCGTGCTCCTCGAGAGAAAAGCGGATGATTTTGCTTGGAAAGTCCGTTCCCAGCGCTACAGTCCCTTTTCCCTCACCGTTCTCGTTGTTTGTATCTCTGTAGGTAAAGTCGGTCAGGAAGATATTCTGGCCCGTCATCATGCGTTTAAATGCAGAAGATGAACCTTCTAGGGTCGTCGCCATTTCCACGCCTTGTGTCATGTATATCATCGATCCCGATTCCGCCCGAAGCCTCTCGCCCGGGCGCACTGTGACGGTAGCGATCTGTGATTCCTCGCCCTCGATTTTTGACGACACCGCGAAATCGATCGGAACATCGTTCTGCGCGGGACTCGCGGGAAGGTTGCGAGAATCGTTTTCGTCCTGGCGCCGAATGGACGACGGAGGCGAAGAGAACGACAGCCGAGATTCGCGGTCGTAGCCGTAACCGAACGTTGCGAAGGCGGCGGCACGTCTAGTCGGGTGCAGGCGAGACAGAAAAATCACTGCTCTCGAAGCCTTGTCTCCGGTAGCTTTCGAAAGCATGTTGGGTTCGTCTCGGACTTTTTGTTTGGTTGGAAATAGTCTTTGGAGTTGAGAATATGCGATCCAAAACACTCGTAACAAAGTAACATCAGTTTCCCGGTATTCAGCATTCAGTTCAATAAAGGATTTCAATCAGAAAAACGGTTATTCTTCAGAAAATGATACGGTACACGATCTTACGTACCGGACATTTATTCCCCATCTACCGTAAAGTACATACGGTCCTGTACTTCGTACTTTACAAGAAGTAGTTTACTGTTGGGTCCAATTCGGGTAAAAGTATGTTTGGAATTTTGAAATACACAATAATACTGATTCTTCCCGCCCGCTAGCTAGATGTGTCATCGTTGCACGTTTACTATGTAATACTAGTATTCAGTGAGACACTCCTCTTCTTTGGTGATGCGTCATTTGGTTTTCCTTGCCTTTGTTGAGTGTGGTATTCTCTCTTGTGTTGCATCATGTGTTCTGTTCTTGTTCTTGTTGAGGGAAAGCAAAGATATGCTTTTTCTTTTAAGGAAGAGGAGGATCAATTTCTTTGGTTTGGTCGTGCCAAGTGACTCCTGTCTTTAGTAGTAGCACATCATGCCTGCTCACCAGACTGAATATGATCAGTCAAGGATTCTAATAAAAAAGCTGTCTCCATACACAAATCTTGGTTGTCATGGGCCCACGACAACAAGATTTATATATTCTTAGTGCTAACGTTCTGAATGTTAAGTTACTAACATTCCGTACATTGTGTGCATAGGATCAGTACTAAAATTGGCGGCGGCACACCAGCAGGCCAGCAGCTGCTGATCCAGTAGCCGCTCAGCAAGGACCAAGATCAGTTTTGGGAGGACTGCTGTAGTACAAAATCTGTGAGGATACACATTAGAAAATATGCAAATCAAGGGTTAGACCTGCAGATTTTGGTCAAAAGAATGGGCCGGAACAAGGGTTTTGTCTGTGCATTCAAAGTTGTACTGAGGCCTACAGTTGTCACCTAAAAATACCTCCAGCAGTGTGCTGATCCAGCGTCCTTAATTGTTCTTTTCTTTATTCTTTCAAAAAATATGTTACAGAGGCAACTGACCATGGGAATCAGCTCTATTTTTGGCACTTCCACTCACTCTTACTTACTGTTCTTGGTATCACTGGAGAGCTCCTCTCTTCCATTGTCAATTTAACAAGTCTTGAATTGTAGCAAGAAAGGGCCAGTAGAACCCACCTTATAGTGTGTCCAGTGTAGCTTCTTCTAGACGTCAGCAATCAGCAATATGAGCAATGCTCCAGCAGATAAGATAACAAAGATCAGAGTTGACCATGGTTTAACTAGACTAACACAACATGAAAGAAGAGCTGAGAGGCCTTGTCCTGGAAAGGGAGGGAGTAGTAGATGGTATGATGTGCTTGTTAGACTGGTGGAACTGGTGGCAACATGGTAGGCTGGTCTTCTTACTACTTTTGCTAGCAAGTCTTCAGTCAGCAGATTGGCAAACAGTAGGGTCCAGTGTTACAGGATGACTGGAAACAATAGCCAGACCAAACTAATGTCTTGGGATCTCTTTGACATGGTTCTATTCATGTGGATCTATCCAACTGCAAACTATGATGAAGTTGCAACTTTTGTCTAGTACAACAGATCTGGTAATATATACTGCAGATCACAGATCAGCAGGAGACTGAATGGTTTCTTAGACATGACGCAGAAGGAGCTCCTTGTTATAAGCAGCAGGCTTCCTATCCCATTCCCACTCTTCCATCCACTTCTAGTCTTGGTTGATGACAAACTGTACTTGAGGGGAAGCATTGTCAATTATTTCTGGTGGAGAGGGCCCAGGAGCTGTGGTGGGGAAGGGTGCAGACCTATCCATGACTATTTGCATCCTCCATCCAATCCCAGGATCAATGTCCTTGATTGACTCTGCTGCTTCCCTTGCCTTTGCTGCTGGGTGCCATTTTATCTCCATGTTGCACTTTACAATTCCATACTTGGGCTTTGGCATCCAATGCTTGTAAGCACAGGCCTTGGGTCCTTTGGAAACAAGGATCCTGGCTTGGCGCCTTGCCTTTGTTATTTTTGCTCTCCTCCTGTTCAATTTTACCCTCTGCTTTGGGTGTGGATAACTAGACAAGAGTTCTCCCCTTGGTCAAGGGGGAACTGAATATGGGGTGCTCTCAGGCTATTGTTGATATTCATCTTTATGCAGTTCTTTGACTAGAAAGTCTGGTATTTTTAGTTGCTCAGTTTGCTTGTTTTGCTGCTTTCAGTGCTATCCTCCATTTTTATCTGGGGTTGTCATCGCACTCACAGGATATATTGTTCTTGTTTGATTCAAAGAGAAGGAAATGTGATTGATGCATTGTGTTCTGAGTACCAGGAATAGATCTGGCACAGTTCCTTCTGATAAACCAGAGACAAAAGAAATGAATCAACAAGGAGGTGAGTTGCCAAATTTTGAGTTCACACAATTAGTGGCCTAATTTAGTGAGCAGTTGATCTGTTGAGGTGCAAAGTTTCCGTGGTGGGACTAAAATGTGTTGAGTGAAAGTAGTCATTACAAGGTACAAAGATGACCCATTATCTACACACCATGTTATTTCAAGGGTATAACTGTTTTAGTCTTGAACTGATAGTTTGACTTGTAACTTGGTCTCCAACAATTAGTTAACATAGGAGATAAGCACACTATTGTTCCTAATAAAGAGTCGTGTATCATGGTCATGTGGAGGAGTTGGGGGATCCTAGTAGTAGAGCATGTCGATATTTGTCTACAGATATCAGATTCAAAATCCCCAATCAAATCATTTTTTTTAATGCCAACCATTAACAGCACTAGTATATGGTAGGACTGAGCAAGAGACCAGTGATGATGAAGCAATTGATCACTTGTTCTGTATGCAGTTGAGGTGATAAATGAAGTTGTAGTCACAAGAACAGAAGAAGACAAACAAGGAGCACCAGATCCAAAGAAATGATGGTGCTGGGAATGATCCAGACAGCCATAGCAATGATGACATGCCAGCTGTAATTGCTGGTTAGCTCAAGATTGCAACCAACAACCATGCAGCAGACATACAACAAATTCAGGGCAGGAGATGGTTTTACTGCATTGAGCCACAGCTGTTCAGTGCCAGTTTATGGAATTCTGTTGAAAGTCTGCACTATAATCAACAGTCCGTAATGTTGGTTGCAAATGCCAAAGAGCAGTACAATAATATTGAAGCATCCCCCATGACTCCTCCTCAATACAGTGTCAAGAAAGGGATAAGACTTTTTGGGGAATCGGGTAAAAATGCAGTACTTAAAGACCTAAAGCAGATTCATGACTGTGGAGTGTTATCAGCCCTGGACCCTAAAGCAATTACAAAAGAGATGGTCAAAGAGGCACTGCCATACTTGATGTTCTTCCTCAAAAGGGAAAGAGTTAGTACCTTGATCAAGAGAAGGGACTGTGCTGACAGTTGCAAGCAATGAGATTATATCTGTATGGAATGTAAGCTCACCAATCATGTTTTGTATGCTCTGCTCCTATTGTGCATCATGGATGCCATTGAGGGGGGTGATGTGGCTACAGTGGGCACCCCCAAAGCTTTCCTATAGAATGACATGCCCAAGGGGGAGAATGTATACATTAGGCTTGACAGGCCAATGGCAGAGCTACTTTGTTGAGTGAACCCAAAGATGTACAGCAAGTATATCCTCAACAAGAATGGGAAGAAGGTGCTGTTCACTTGTGCAGAGAATGCAATATATATGGCACTCTACAAGCAGCAATGATGCTGTTCTGGGAGAAACTTTCTCTGGTCAGTTGAACTGAATGGTCAGTTGTACAAAAGGGGTTTTGAGCTAATTCCATATGATCCATGCACATTGAACAAAACAATCAATGGGCATCAAAATACAATTGTATGGCATGCTGATGACCTGAAGATATTGCACAAAGATCCCACATTAGTTACTAGTTTCATCCTCAAGGACCTTAATGAAAAGTTTGGAGTGGAAGAATCTCTGCTCACTGAAAGAAGAGGAAAGATACATGATTATGTGGGGATGACACTACTAGTAGATTACTCCATTCTCAGAAAGGCAATGCTTAGCATGTTCAACTACTATCTTGAGGATATAATCCAAGGACTACCCAGCAGTTTGAAAGGACATCCAGCAATACCTGCATTCAATCATCTTTTTAAGGTCAACAAGGACGCACAACCCCAACCCCAACCCCAACCCCAACCCCAAACGACTGGACCAAAGTGGCCAACAAGCGCCCAGCACGAGGAGGCTCAGGCAACAAAGCATCAACATCGACAAAACGAGCGAGCTTTATCCGTAGCAGGATGAAGTCTTTTCAGTCAGAGCGAGATAGGAAGTACAAGAATAACAGCAGTACAAGGAGCTTTCTATGGGATATTGTTCGCTGGGTGACCTGTCTGCATCATGCTCTGTTTTTGTTCAATTTTGTGGTGGATCGGTGTGACTGTCTCGTAACGAAACCACGACCGAGGCAGAAATCGAAGCTTTCGTCTGCACGCACTGCTCTCCCCGCATCGAGAGAAGAATTGTACCCCCCCCTGGTTCTGCTTGGGGGCATTGCTCAAACAAAATCCTCGTGGGATCACCATCTTGGCGCTCTTGCAGAACACCGTCAAGTCTTAGTCTACGAGTGCATCGGTCAGGGCGAGAAGGCGATAGACGACAACAATCTAGACGCGTCGTTGCCGGCCCAAGCCCGCAGACTCCTGGAGCAATTGGACGCGGAATTCACCACGGGCGGAAGAAGCAACGACGACGACAACCAGCTGGTTGTGGACATTGCCGGCTTTTCGTTTGGTGGAAGAGTGGCAATGGCCGCTGCTTGCTTGCAAACGGACGGGGTTTCCCAAAAGATCCCCGACCATGCCCGTGTTCGAATACGGAGGCTTCACCTGACCGGGGTGGGATGCGACCGATCGGACTATGGCCATGTAGCCATGCGAAGTTTCTCGGAGTTGATCAAGAGCGACCCTTCTCTTCGGTCCTTTGCATGGTCAATCCTTTTGGCCACCTATTCACCCGCCTACCTCCGAGGACTGCCAGAGCGCACTCTGGAGCGATTGGTAGACTTCATTGCTTCCTCGAACAATGCAGACGGGTTGCTCGCGATACTGGACCAAGCCGAGGTTAGCGACGTGGAGGATCCCTGGCACGTAGTAAACATGGCAGATCGATTGGTTTCGTCGGGAGAAACGCCCGAGTTCTCGGAGGGGACCGGCAGCAAGGGCGCCGTGACTGGAAAACTCTGTGTAGGAGAGTTCGATAGAATGGCACCCGTCGAGGGGGTGGCTCTGTTGCAGAAGAAACTGGGTTGGATTCGGCACGGAGTCGATGTGCTCCCCGATTGCGGACACGCGGTAGTACTGGAACAACCCCGAGCTTGGCGGGAATCTGTGTTGTCGTTCCTTAATGCCAACGGTGCTGTTTCGTAAGAATGCCACGGCATAATTTAAAAAGTAGAAATATTCCTGTCACAAATGATTCTTTGCGCTTGCTGTTATGCTACGGTTGTGACTCCACGGAGGCAAGCGAATGGTTGTACTAGGAATGGCGCTATGGTTTATAGATCACTATTTTTCATGTATTACCGCTATCGCTGAGATGTCCTCTATCCGTCTCGCGATTTCAATTCGACCATGAAACATTGGTATTCCAACTCAAGCCGTAAAAATACAAGCAACAAGAATGGATCTTCTGAAAAGAATCCACGTTCTCGATCTACGATTCACCGGCCGACGCCGACTCGGCGTCCACGGCCTCGATCACCTTCGATGCCTCTTCCTTGCTCAAAATATGATGAACACATTCCCCGTTTTCGCCCTTGGCCATGGTGTACAGTTCCATTTTCTCTGCTGCAGCAGCAGCCGTCGTTCCATCCATTGTCTTGTTCAGGACCTTTACTGCCAATTTCAGTGCCTCCTGAACATCGGGTATGCTTCCCTCCTCTTTTCCTTCCTCGCCCGTCTTGTACTCGGTTTTCAGCAACGACTTCCCCGCCTGGTTGTTCGCACCGATCACGGTTGCCTTCCATCCACTATAATTCCCCGACGGATCGGACTGGTACAATTGGAAGCCATAGTTTTCGTCATAACCGGCAAACAAAAAGGCAACACCAAACGGACGAAGACCTCCGCGTTGGGTGTAAAACTGCTTGTAATTGCAGACATGCTCTACAAGCTGTTCGACCGGGATAGGTTCCTGGTATTGATACGCATATCTTCCAGCCCGAAGTCGCGCTTGATCGATCAAAATATTGGCATCTGCTGTCAAACCGGCAACATTACACGAAACATGGGAGCAGAGCTGATATGTCTTTTCGGAAGTCTACGAGCAAACATTTGCACATCAACAAGATAGGCAAACGCAACCAGATCCAGGAGAAAGAATTGTGTTGGCGTTCGAATCGGAAGAGAACAACATCAAAAACGCTCGAGTGAGAAACAGTATTCCATTTGCAATTCTTCGTTTCCCCGCAAGACAGTTGCCCGCTTCACAATGCTTCGTTTTCTGACCGGGTGTATGGATTAAGGGTCGATCTATCTGCACCTTACCTTCGAAGGCGCAAGAAGACCACTGGTGATGCGACGCTCACTGGCCATTACAATCCCATCTTTGGCCAGTATACCGACACACGTTCCGGCATTGTTGATGGCTTCGATGGCGTACTCGACCTGGTGGAGTCGGCCTTCGGGAGAAAAAGTTGTTGTCGATGAATCGTAGCGACGAGCCATTTCGAGATTAATTGTCCTGCAATTGTTTCGAAGGCAGGTAGATACGGAGGTTTTGTCTACTTCTCAACAAGGATGCTTGTTTCTGTTACTAGTTGTGTTTGAATGAAGACGGGGATATTTCGTGTGTCGCGTTTTGTTGCATGTTGGATCCTCGAAAAAATCAAAATCGACGCCGAAAGACTAGCTACGAAAACCAGTTGATTCAGGGGTAGGAAAAAGGGGAATTGCTCAGTCGCCTTTTCCAATCGAAAGAAAAAAACCATTAGTGACTGAACTAAGTTAGTGACTGAATTCTTTAACGGCCACCGACCACTGGTTCATTTGGGTTTGCGGTGCGGCGTGATCGCGTGATGTGATTCGGTGTGAAATCAAGGATGTTGAACGATCACAAAAATAGTGCCGAGAGACGGGAAAATATGGTACCATACCATACTGATTCGTTACTTCGCACTGAAACTCTTCCGGCTCCTAGCGTACGAGTACCTGTACCGTTACGGAACTGTCACGGTTAGTTTATTCGAATGTTCGGTCGTTCGGCTGTTTGGTTATTCGGTTGCTCTGTTTGGCTATTTGCTTGCTCAGCTGAGTCGTTCACATCCCATTTTCGGTAAGTTCATTCCGATACGGTATCAGAATTTCGTTCGTGGAAATCAGGGGCAAAAGTACTTTGTGCACTACGAAAGGAACAGAGGCAGCATCCTAACACCCTTTCGAATTGCGTCTAATATGGACGGTGATTCTTTCGAATAAATTGAATTGCACTTGACTATAGGAATACCATAGATTTATCGATCATGGCGACGTGTAATGGATGTGGTGAGAGTTTTCCCAGTCGAAATGCTATCTTCAGGCACCTGAAGGAAACCAATGGTGCGTGTCTATCCAAAGAAGACTACAAACAATTTGTGAAATATGCTCGAAAGACGACAAAAGCACCGAAAGTTATTATAATGTATGGGTACCTACCGTATGATGGAAGTAGCTGTTCAAAATCAATAATGATCAGAAACGGGGAAGATGCGGGACATATTCTCATGGAGACGATCAACGAACTTGAAAACGAGATTAATGGATTTTCCGACGACGAAGACGACAATGGTGACGGGGAAAATCCAAATTCATCATCCTCCATTAACAACATAAATCGCTCCTATGGATACAGTGCGAGATCGGCAGAATGCGTCAAACAAGATGAGGACACGGCAGCTATTACGGAAGTTATGACGGCGCGTTTGTATCCGTTGCACAAAGACATGTCGATGGAAAATTGGCTAGATCTGGTACAGAAAAAACTGGACGACAAATTTGATGAAGGCCACGATAACACGATGGATGACGGGAACAGCTTCCGTGTCACTCCGGTTCGAATTATTGGGCGTCAGGATATGCCGAACCTCAGATTCAATGCGGAAATGGACGTAAGTGAGCATCGTTTTCAGTGTAATCAATAAGTGCTTTCTCCAATTAAATGGTTTGAGTCCATTATCATCATCCGCCCACGCATTTTTGGTAATTTTGTTTGCTGAACACCGTGCCCTCAATTCACAGATAACCTATCGACGGGTCGAGTATGTCCTGCCTGTAGACTTTTTCTCGTGGTCACCACGAAACGCCGAATTCAAAGAGAAGATACACGAGACTCCCATCTTCAAAGAAAATCCTAAGCACGACATCGATCACGTAAAAGAAACAACAAACCCATTGGATCCCGCGACGAAGGCATTCATGATGGAACTGAAAAACTTTTTTAAACTCCTGACAACACGTGTTGTAAAATTAGACGTAACAGACGAAGCCAGTGTATTGGAAAAGGGATTCAGTGCGAAAAAACTAATGAAACGAAAGAGAGATAAAAAACAGAGAGATGCAGAAGATAACAGAGATAAGTGTGCTGGTTGTAGTACTTCTACAAATGCTCAGCAAAAAGGATTGGAGGGAGCGTCCTCTTCAGTTGATTTCAAGGATTCGAGGCCCACTAAGAAAGTCAAGCCCACCAAAAAACCGAAGAAGACAAACGTTCTGAAACGCAAAAGATACCACAACTTCACTGAGAAGCTCATGGCTCACGAGTATCTTACTTATCGACGCCTCGATCGGATCTATCATCGATCAACGTTGAAATTTCCTATGGAATCCGAATCGAAAATGAAAACGACTTCGTACATGATTTTATCGATGTCAGGAGATATGTTTCTTACTGGACAAACTTCTCGGTTAATTGGTGTCATTGTGGCGCTTGGTAACGGTTTGATTGATCGTGAGTTTATTGACTGCGTCTTTGATGAAAATTATCCGCATTTGGTACCGACACCTCCCGCACCACACTTTGGAGTTGTTTCTTCCGAAGTTCAATACGCAAACCAAGAGGGCAAAACAAGACGCATTCTCAGCGCACGGATGTCTGATCGCTACACCGAAGGTTGGAATAATGAGGCCACTATTCGGCGTGTGAAAGATTGGCAAAACGAGGTTTATAAATATGTTGACTCAAAATGGAAAAAGGATGGTCGAGACGAACAGGGAAGGCTGAGGTCAGAGCAGGAATGGACAGAGAAGGTGTTGCTACCATGGGCCGAAAAGGCCAAGGAACACTTGGAGGACTATAAACGTTGGAAAAAGAAACAGCATCAGTCATCCCACGATCTTTCGGAGTCTTCTGCAAAGCATGACTCGCATACCGAGAGCAGCTATGCGCCAGAATCATCTCGTATCCCCCAAATTGAACCCATCGATCCAACGGTACCAGAGGTGTACAAGGATGTTCTTCACCATTTACGAAAACTAGACGCCTCTGGAGAGTGGCCAATGACTAGTTCAAAACGACAACTTGTTATGGTTTCTTCCTCTGATGGCGTGAAGGAGAATGGCAAAGGGACGGAGTCGCTTGCACTCGCTTGTTTGAAAGCCAAACGAAACGAACTGACCGGCTCCTCTGCCTATTCCTTTGCGGAGGGACAGGGTGGTGCGAGTGGTTCGTTTTCGGTTGGAATCATGCCCGGCGGTGACAAGAAGCAGCCCAAGGCCAACTCAATGTTCCCGGACTTGGTCAAGGCCGCATTTCTTCTCGAGACAAAGCTGTTTCCCGATCGAGAGCCAAGCAGTACCATTGCCGTCAACAGAAATGCCCAGTTTCGACCACACACCGATAGTGGAGCAGGAGCAGGGCAGTCAACATCTCTGATCGTTGGTTTAGGTACGTATGGTGGTGGCGAGTTAATGGTGGAGGGAGACAAACATGACATCCGCTACAAAGCCATCGAGTTCGACGGATGGAAGCAAAGGCATTGGACAATGCCTTTCAAGGGAGAACGATACAGCTTAGTATGGTTCACTCCGAAGGGTTGCGAAGGTATGAAAGGGATAGAGTTGGATTTATAATATAAAGAGAAAGGATTTATTTGGATTGGTCGCCGCATATTTATTGATAGTTGACTCGTCTCGAATAGCTGTGGCTGCGGAAAAGGATACTAGAAAACACATAAGATTAACTTCCTTTATTATTACTTTAACCCAGCGTTTTGCGTATTTCTATCTTTGGGGCGTCGCATTGTAGGCATGATCCCCGGGTCGATTTGCGCTTCTCCTTCTCCGAGAACTCTTGGACGAGGACGAGCGGTGGACAACTTGAGGTGTATAGGATCTTCTAAGTGCAGACCCGAATGCGTCTCGGTTTCGTAACTTGATCGATTTTGCCTTCATCAAGGAGAGGGCAGCCGGGGTCAGCGAACCGGGTCCCAGTGCCTGGCACATAGAACTGTGTTTCCCCGATTTGAGAGAAGACCGACGCAAGGACGAGGGCGACGCCAGCCTGGCCCTGCGTGCCATCAGTTTTTCTGCGTTGCTCGCTGCGAACTCCCGTTCGTTTTTCGACGGCATTCGGAAGGACGAAGTCGATTCCGGTTTTTCTAGTTGTTCTTCCTGGTGTGACAAAACCAATGGTGGGCCATCGATGGCTCCATGGGTGCTGATTGGCAATTGTTGTTTGGCTCTCGGGGACGACATTGCCACGTATGGGTACGACTGGCGATAAGATTCTTTCTTGCGTTTGAAACGTCGGCGTTCCTCCGAAAGCGATCTAAGAGGGGCGTCGAGATCCGTGGAAGCATCCGTCGAAGACATGTAGTCCGTGTGGGAATCAGAATCTGTTTCCTCGTCAAGACTCCCATGCAGAGCACTGCCTGGAATCGGAATCAACGATGGATTCGACGGAAATCTCGTCGCGCTCGGTTCGATTTTCTTTTCGAGTTTGTGCTTCGGTATGTACTCCACCAGCTGGCTCTTGAGCAAATTTTGCGTCAATTTATCTTTTCCGGCGTTTCGGTTAGATAGCAATCCGGAAGTATGCTGCTTCGAAGGGGGTGGCATGTCATCGGAACCATCGGATAACACCATCAATGCAGTTGAATTTTTCAGGAGGGCCTGTTCTCTTACATTTCCAATTGCGTCACTGTCTGTCTCAGACGAATTTCTCATCGGCGTCGGATTAAAGAACAAGCCGTTCCGCATTAGAGGTTTGTGTTTCCATGCTGTTCGATTAGATTCCGGAGCAAAGTCATCGGATGCCATCTCCAAGCAAAGGTTGCTGATGGCTCCTCCTGGCCTTTCGTTTTCGTTGGTTTTGCTGGTTGGATTGCTTTTTGTTTGATAAATGGCTTCTAGTCTCTGTCTATTTTCTCTTATGTTTTGTTTTAGATTCGAGTCAAACTCGTCATCGTCCTCGTTTGTTGCTCTCATCACGAACCCGGTCACGGTTTCTTCTTCTAACGGACGCATGCGTTTCCGTATCTGTATGTTTGCACCCGGTGGGTTTCGACGAGCTAGCGTGTTTTCATTGCTTTCGGACTCCAATACATCACGATCATCGCCTTCCCGCCGAGCAGCGGCTGCTTCTTCCTCTTCTAAAGAATTGCGCGTTGCTCGGCGGACGGCGACGGCTCCGATCGCGTCTCCCGCCAAGCGGCAGTCCAAGAGGCTGTTCTCTCGCTCGAGCCTCGAGATTTCCGGGAAATAGTCGCGTGCAACAATCAACGATAGCTTGGAGGTGTAATCTTCTTCGCTGAGGACCAGCCGTCGTTGTCCTTTATCCGCCATAGTGGACAAAATTTAGTACCGTGGGCACGAAGTCGTTCTCTTGTACTGTACTGTACTGTAGTTGTCGGGAGGTTGGTCGTTCTCATGGCAACGAGCGTTTCTCGGTCTCGTCTCTATTGAAAGCAGAGTTTTCGAACTTCGGAAATTGATTTCCAGTTTTTCGTTATTTTGGAGATGGGGGGAACAGACTAGGGCGATTTTTTATTCTTCCCCCTTTTTCTTTTCGTTCCCTATCGACGACCCCTTTCGCGTAACCATTGATTGTGACGTGAGAAACCGAAAGCAAACATCTCATCAGCCCATCAGCCAAGATTCGTCTTAATTCTCGGAATTTTTTGATGCACGACAACTTCGAGTTGCAGAGGAACGAAAGCCATTATCAAGAGCATCACCGCAGTTCGACGCGACACTAACTATTCTAGAAAGCACTTGCACGAGAGATAGAGAAGAAGCATGAAAGGGCCCACACGATATTCTTGGAGTCTACTGTCACCTCTGATGCTTGCTGGATCCTCGTTCTTCTGGACAGCGGCGAAAACGACGTCGAAGAGAAGTCTCTCGGTTTTTGCGGAGGCAGCACCTAGAAGCTCGCTTCCCCTTTCTGGTTGCTTCGCAAGTGGAAACGGAAGCGGGAAAACCCTGGCGTTTGCGGTGCCCCCCTTCCGTGCAGCCGATCGGACGCAAGGTTGTGCGACGCATCGTCTGTCCACCGCAACCCCGATTGCTACCGAGTCCCACAGCAAAGGCAGCGACAAGAACGAGAACGAAGCCGACCCGGAATACAGCCCCTGGAACGATCCGAGAGTTGCCGAGCGAGCAAAGAAAGACAACAATTCCCACCGTTCGCGACAACACGTCAATCCTCTGGCAAGAAAATTTCAGCAGCCCACGGTCTTATCGGACAATTGGCCGGTCGACGTGTTTGACGACCTTTCAAAACCAATCTTCCTAGACATTGGCTGCTCTCGCGGAGGATTTCTGCTGGACTTAGCTTCGCAGCGACCCGGTGATTACAACTATCTAGGTCTCGAGATCCGTCCAATCATCGTGCACCATGCCCAGGAACGACTGCGAAATCGCAAACTCGAGGGGGGCCTCGATTTTGTAGGTTGCAACGCCAACGTGGATCTGGAGCGACTACTAACATTGCTAACATCGACCTCCGAAAATCAAGAGGCAACCCGGGGGAACGTAGAAATGGTTACCATTCAGTTCCCCGATCCTCATTTCAAGGCACGGCACGCCAAGCGGCGAGTTGTTACTCCCGAACTGGTACAGACACTGGCACGCTTTATGCCGGAAGGAGCAACCGTTTTCTTGCAATCGGACGTGCAATTGGTTCTCGACGAAATGAGGCTACAGTTTCGAGAGCAAGCCGAATACTTTCAGGATGCCCACGAGTCCGTGGAAGAGTACATACCCGAAAACATACTTGGGATTCCCACCGAGCGAGAAATCAGTGTCCTGGAACGCGACCTTCCGGTATTTCGTGCAACCTTTACTAGGACCGGTGCGAAGGCAGTGTGAGCCGAATAGTTCTGTTGTATTGCACGGAACCAGCCGTAGTAAATTAGATAAAATTGTAAAAATCAATTCTTTTTTATGACAGTGCATTCAGATGTTGATGACCTCCTGCGATGTCAAATTTCGCTGTCTCTCAAGGCATCCCCACAACTGTAGTTGAGGATATTGACAGTTGGATTGAAGAAATGACTGTGTGAAAATATGAATATTTTATCCTAGAGACAAGAAAACCATGATTAAAAGTGCGAGTCGACACAATTGAAAGTTGATTTACTCCAGAACTTACTCTGCTAGTAATATGAAGTAGGAAGATGACACAAGAAGCATCTCTTCAAAAAGAATGACTGATGAAGAAAAGCCTTCTGGAATGGCAATCTGTCACATTTAGAAAATTGAGAATAGCAGCTCAGTACCTCTCAAACTTTTCTGATCAGAAGGTCCATGGGTTCCAAAATGTTGAGAAGGAGGTTCTACAAGGGGTGGGGTAGGGGTTCTGAAAAATCCATCATTGCTGGTGCTGGTGCTGGTGTCATCATCCTCATTCTTTTTCTTGTTGCCAAAAGTACTATTTGCCTCACTACCCTTCTTGTACTAACAACCACTTGTTGATCTCCTTTTGTGGGAGTTACTATCTAAGAATAGTAGTGATGTAGTAAATCAAGTGCTAGTAGAAGAAAAGTGAGTCGATGCTCTTATCGAGGATTACCAAACTATGAAATCTAAAATCAATCAAAGCACAGAATGAAGATCAAGTGATGTGTGAATCGAATKAGTCAAGTCAGTCATGCAAGTGAATCAAATGAACCATGTCAATCAATTGGATCCATGGGATCGAGGAGTGAGTCATGAATGTAGAGTGTGTATGAATCATAGGTATGTTTCGCATGTACAAATCATATATATGGATCATACACATGATCTGATATCCTACAGACAGCACCTTTACCAATTCAATATCAAGAGACACTCACTACTAGATAACTTCTGATAGCCATAGATAAATTAAACAATGAAAATGGTTTTATTTTCGTCCATTGGACGGTTATTTTAACTGTAAAATGAGCTAAAACTTTCTTCTTGCATTTGTATGGGAATTGATAAGTACTTGGGTACTTTACGAAGTACTAGTTGACATTATTACGCTTGAACTTGTGAGTTCTATCGTGCGTAGGTACTATTGAAAACATGGCTATCTAGAACCCAACGTACGGGCACCTCTGTAAATAATAATTTGTTGATTCGTGATCGAGAAGAAGCATGTGACTAAATATTTCTAATCCAATCTCAACAAGACAGAAACATGCTTTCGAATCGTTGGTAAGTGGGAGTCGACCCGTGGATCCATAATCGATCGTATTACTGTATCTACAGAGTAAATATGAAAGAGGGTTGGAGTGGACAGTGAAACGGAAGTAACCCGCGGAGTAACACGATCAGTTTCGACGACCCAAAAAATGGACATAAGTAAGTATCAAAATGGCGCCTAAATCAATAAACGGAAAAACCTCATCAGATCGGCATACGCGCTCCCACATTCATTAAATACCGCGTATGAAGACACAAAATCACACGCCGGCCGTCAAAGCGAAAAATATTGACTCTGAAATAATGATGCTGAAACACAATTGTATCATTTTACGTACGGTACAGTCCGTTGAGTACCGTACAGTACTGTAACTTAGTCCCTCACCTCACATGCTCACGATACGACACGACTTCGTTCCAATTTGTCTGAAAACGATTCTACAAAACGTTAAGCGGCAACAAGAATACCGTAAACGTCGGAGCAATGGTCATGTTCATATAGATTTGAGAATGGAGCCTCACAATAGAAATAGAAAGAAGCGTCAACTCAGAAAAATACAGTCGATAACGTACCAGCTTAATTTTTCATGTGAACACATAGGACGGTATGTACCTTGGACGAAGAGGAAAATAAAGTGGTAAGTTCTTGTGTCGGTTTAATTCTGTCACACTTCGCCATGATTCTTGATCATCGATGACGTGCCAGAAGTTTTGTCGACTATTGAAGTTTGGTACCGTTTTGACTACTTTTTGTTCTGTCATTTGAACCACTAATTTTCACTTGCTTACCATTCTTTTTGTCACATTGTCGATTTTGGGTAGGCGTTTTGGATTTACAAATTTGAATGCTGCAGGAAAAGGTGAACACAGGATAGAAGAACACGAAGTAGAGCTTGTATGGTCTTTACATAGCCAGAAGGTCAGAATTTTTTGGAACAAAAGCAACATTTCTCATTTTTTCCGATATAAACATGATTCTGATAAGATCGACGTAAGCTGGGAATCAAGATCAGGGGAAATTTTCCGCTTGTTGGCTCACGAGTCATCGTCATTAACCAGATCAACTCGACAATACGATTTCTTTGTCGATGGCGTCAGTATTTTTTCTTTCCCGCGTTTATCCGAGTTAAATGCGGAAGCCATAACATTAGACCATTCAACAAGCTGTGACCGAACGCCAACGACAGTTATTTCAATAGACCATTCGGCAAGCGAAATCTCGGACTCATCCGTGGGGAGTAGCAGCGTGAGCGATTGCTTTCTTCACGATGGAAACGAGGAAACTCGACAACTCCCTGATTCTGGGTTTCGCCTCTCTATGGCTGGTTTTGTTCCTTGTGTTCCTTTAGACGAGACTGTGGATGACCTCACTTCATCATATTTCAACACAAACAAATCTCTCGGATCTCTCAGGAGAGCCGTCACCGGGTTGATTCAAGACTCGGAGGATATGGTTTCGAGGGCTATCATCAATGCTTTATCGGAAGACAACAAAATCAACGGCAACAACACGTGCGACTCAATCTTTTGCGGTGAATTTCCGTCCGTCCTGATATGTGGCGCCGCAGAAATATCAGCAGAGATCCAAGCAAACATTTTGTTTTTGACTTTCGAATGGACCAAATTGTATACATCTTGCGCTCCACGACCAGATTTTGAAGAACAAAAGCGTCTCTTTTTGCAAAAGCACATGTTTGCCATCTTTGTGCATGTTCACAACAGGCGTCTCACAGAAGACGACGCAGTGCGAACTTTGCTTGATATTGCCACCCTCTTGGATATTCCTATTTGGCCATCCGTTCAGAGAGAACGAGATACATTGATAATTCAAGATCAGAGTAAGGAAATTTATTTGGATACTTTAAGTGCCACAATGAAACAATTCGACGAATTGTGTAGAATTGGTGTGGCAACCAACCGAAACTTCGGTAAGTCGCAACACAGCGTAGAGTCCCATGTCGGTTTTTCGCGTTGTTCTGATTTCTAAAAGCAGTGATATATCTTCCCTCTTTCCCCTTTTCATAGCGTTTTGCCGATTTGCATCAGCAAGGGGTCCTCTTAAAGCTTTTGCTGCTGCAGATAAAGGTTCACTCGATATAAATGGGAATTCACCACAATTATCACTCATTCAAAAACCTCTCGTCTCTGGGAGACCTGGAACATTAAGTCGGCGATCGATTTCGGTTAGTGAATTCCGTGAACGAGGTGAACGAAACCCTAGGCCTAAACCTATTCATGCGCGGCGCAAATCTCACCAGAGAAACACGATTTCGATCGATAAACTAATTACTGAAAGTCCAATATTTCACCGCATGATCAATGATCCAGTGCTGGTATCTCCTATTGATGTCGAATCGTTCCAGAAGAAAGATAATTTTGGAAAGATATACGACATAAAAGATTTCCGTCATTCCAGCGACGCTATCGCCACCATATCAGTTGGAGATGGAATTCACGATACATCAAATGGTCCTCAACTTACCTTCTCATGACAAAATATAGATTGTTCCTTGCTTTTCTACAGCATCCACACAGCTTGCGTTGGCAGCACGTCTGGATTTTTCATTATTTAGTGATATTCCTAATCGAATTAGACGAAATAGTTGAAGAACTACTTAACCCAGTTCATAGTGTTTTGGAAAGCGGAAAAGGGAATGGTGTACGGTATTTTAAGTTGCAATGGGATTTTGCTTTGAATTCTTTGGGTAGAACATCCAAAGACGTATCACGACAACCATTCAGCTGCGACTTGAATCTCCCCTCATTTTGTATCGGGTCTATCAACGATGTCAAACTTACTCACTCGAACATGATCATCGAAGTTGAGGGTCCATGAAATGGAGAGATTTATTGAGATGCCATGAAATGACAGCAACATATTTGCATTTTGTACGGCAAGAGTCCAATGCAGTACTTTTTCTATACCTACAGTGAAACAGTCTATCGAAATTGATCAAAATATGATCCCATTATCATATGCAGTACATTTGACAATTCAGTGTGAATGTGCATGGGTTTTGAGAAGCAAATATCCGTACAGCGTTTCTATCTAATTGCATTCTTCCTCACTTCCGAAGATATATGGCTACCTTGTTTTAAACGACTGGCTATTACGTGGAGCACCCATCTTGCCTTGTTTCCTCCTACAAAAAATGAGCATAGTGACCATTGCAAAGAATGTTTTTTTGGAAGAATATTTTCGTTTTTTCAACTTGTCCAATATGCTCGAAGCGATGTCTTTGCAAACAATGTGCATGCTTTGTTTGTTGTAAATGTTCCCCAAAATTGCTTCTCTGGATATAATTGTGCCAAATGAAAGTGCAGCTACACCAGCACAAAGTAGAGGTGCCCTATCGTAAGACGCTCGCCGTAGGCTAAGACGGATCCCCAAAGCCATCAATGCTACAATTCCTACATTTTCAATCTGTGATCGAGGAAGGGCTTCTGCATAGGACCGTATGCGATCCATCGCCATGTTTCGTAGTATTCTGAAGAAAACTTCCACAGGGTCCGTTTGACTGACGTCCTCCCAACCAGTAGGATCCTTTGCTTCTTGTTGGGACTCGGATCCCGATAATCTCTTCATTCGTTCATCCTTGAAAGAGTGAACCATATTTGATGGTTGAGAGACATCTGATAACTCTCCAATTTTTTCAAAGTCTTCGTCGACAACAGTAGATCCCCTGAAGATTTGATCGTGCTCGTCGACTTCCGTAACATCAGAATCCGAGGTGCTCTTGTCGCTTTCCAACCCTACAGAAATATCAATGGTCTTCTCCAAGGTCGGAGAAGACGAAGACTGTTGCAACCAGTTTTGTACAGATTCCGGTAAGAGTGCTTTGCAACCTCCGGCCTTTAATAGTACTGCCTGAGCTTGATTTTTGTCTTTCAAATATAACGAAGATTGAAGCAATTCTGTCTTGTCATCGTCGGTCATCTGCAATCCGTACATGGAAGAGGCTCCCAAGTAAGTCCCAACGCAACATGCCCATAGACCGTTTATCGGATGATATATTGCCCGCAACAAGTCGTCCAGCACCAGTTGATCTAATGCAAAATTAGCACCCCTACGTACTATCGATTCGGAAATTTCCAACAAATCATGGAATATCCAGTTCAGACCCATGCTTGCAACGGCAAGATGTACGAAAAGGTAGACGGTGCAGTATTCGCGAATGTATGGAGCAAATAGAGAAATAACGACGGCAATCACCAGTATCGGTCCTCTTGCTAGGTATAAAATTGTCGTCTTTCGAAAGGAACTACGTTGTGCGGTAGTTCCAAAGCTCGGCATCGTCGTTGTCGTCGTCATCTTCATGGAGTAGAAATTTTCTTACGTTATCAACATGCCGTTATCAGAACAGAAACGATAACACCAATCAATCGAGCCCGATTGGTTTGCAGAAGAATGAGAATAAAAGATCGAGGTATGTATATCAAGTGCTGTAGATGAAAAGCAAAATGTGTATTACTGCGACATCATGTACTCTATCGTTTGTGCTTCGGCTTCGATGGTCGAGGAAGTTTTGGTGATGCGTTTGTGATTGCTGCAGTCATGACTGCTGAATTCATGTGGTAGTATTCCTACTTGACTACTACAGAAAGTCTTAAAGCCCATGTTCTCACCATGCTGTTAACTGAATAAAACTAAAAAGAATGAGCTTACACTCAACATGTACTAAAATCACTAAATTCCACTTTTGGTTCTCCTTCCCTAATCGTGGCTCGCTCATTCTTCCCTCACTCGCTCATTTCCTACCACGTCACTTATATATATCCGTGTCTGTAGGCTTATATTAATTCTGTGTGCGTTCCACGGGCGAACCCCAGTCTGTCCATATGCCATGACAGCGAGTTCCCCTCAACACACTCCTGTGATCTTGCAAAGCAGCTGTCCTTGTACTGTTGCTGTCATTGTTTCATTTGCTGCTTAGTAAGATCATCCTTGGCGGCCTTAGTAGCGGCTCGCTGTTCCTTCCTGGCTCTGATTTCTTCGATTGTGACTCGATTGTACCAGGTTATGTCATGTTCTTCAATTCCAAGTATGATGTTTCTGAACCGCCGGAATTGCAATCCTTGAAGCGGCTTAGTGAAGTAGTCCGCGATCATATCCAGCGTTGGACAGTATTCAACATTTAGTTCCTTGGAAGATATCTTATCGGTTACAAAGAAATACCTGATATTCATGTGCCGAGTCCGCTTTCCACTGGACCTTTTTTCGTGCTTTTCCAGCTTCATTGCGTTTTGATTATCTTAGTACACAATGTTATTGGTGATCTCAAAGCCCTGGGCCCGGAGAAAATGTCTGGTCCATATCACCTGAGTTACCTCATCATCAACTCCAACAAGCTCTGCCTCTGTGGAACTGCGAGTGTTGAGCTTCTGCTTTGATGATGATGAGTTGACTGCTCCCTGTCCCATGGTCATCATCATCCCTGTGTGGCTCTTCATATTGTTATGAATGGCAAAAGCTGTGTCAATATACCACTTAAGTTGTCCGGTTCCGTCGATCCCTAGAACTAGTGGCAACCCAATTGATCCACGCAGGTATTTCATGACCCGCTCCAGCTTCTTCCAATCATCAGCATCAGCTTCCTGGACTCGGGTACACAGGAATGCCACTGGCAATTGTATGTTGGGACGTGCTCGCTTTGCAAGGAATAGCAGCTTCCCAGTATTTGTGTGGAATACAACACACTGCTTCTCATTTAGGTGCTCCGGATTAACTTCATTTATATGGAACAGGTGTTGACCTGCTGGGGTAACGGACTCCCCCTCACCAAAGCCTGTTGGGAGCTTGGCCAGCATGTTTTCGATGTAGTCATGCATGGTGAACTAAACCTTCCCATTCGCCAAAAAATCAATTGTCATCCCCAGGTAATCGTGTGTCTTTCCTCTTGTAACCACCAGTGGGGCCTCCTTCCCATATACTTGGTTGACTTGATCAAGCACCTGTGTAACAACATCAGCACTGTGGTGTGAACCTTTATATCATCCACGTGCCACAGTATTGTACACTGTTTTCCTTCAATTACCTTATTCATCACACACCAATCATACGGATTAACTACAAATCCCMACCTCGACAGATCGGCACTCAGCTTGAGCCAAAACAGTAACGCTTCATTCAGCGTGCTGTATATAGCCTTCAAACATTTAACGTAGAGGGACTTCCTTCCTTGGTGATCAATTTTGATATGCTTGTTGTACAGATCTGGGTCCACCTCAGTTAGTAGGTCCAACATAACCCCCTCAAGCTTGAGATGGGTCTGACCACTCTTATCTGCTGTTTGGAGGAACGCGCCTGGAATATCAGCAGTAGCCACGTCTCTTCCTTCGTAAGCATCGATCATGCAGGAGAGCATTAGTGCTTGTATTGACACTGTGGGAGACGTGGTGTCTTCCTTGCTCATCCAATTCCTCTGCTTCCTTCCATCAGCACAGCCTCTCCCTTTTATCTTCCTGCAACGCTTTTCTTTTAGGAACATTAAATAGGCTAGTGCTTTTGCCTTCTGTTCAGCAGTTAATTCTTTTGCCGGTATAGGTTCAACAACCTCCCTGTTGTGGAGCTGTTGCAGCTCGGCCTTCACTGCTTCTATACTGCGTTCTCCAAATATCTTGATCCCCTGTTTCATCCCATACTGTGTTAGTAGTATGTCATGGACCTGTTTGTAGAACGCGTTTTCAACACTTGCAAAACCAGGGCATACTGCTTCATTCCCCAGTTCTCCTGTCCTCGTCTCGCATTTAAATTATTCATGTAGCCCACTGTCTTTAGATGGTTATAATCACAACCCCGTTGAGGCCAAAGGCCGCTTCTCCTCTCCTCTTGCTGCTCAGCCTCCAAGTCATCATCTCTAACATTGTCCTCATTCTTGGGTGTAGCCAGGCTCTCACTATCATCTGTGTCATCCTCCACAAAACTTTCATCCAAATAATCTTTGAAGGTATCGGTACTCCCATCATCGTGATAATCGGAGTCTTCCTCAACTCATCGACCGTGTTGTTGTGTTGGGGTAACTTGACAGGTGTATCCGCAATTGGTTGACCTGTCCTATCCCTGAAGTCCACGCCCTCCAGATAGTTTTGCGCCAGATGTTCCACTCTTTCTATAACTTCATCTGGCATTGGGAGCTTGCTGTAATTTCTTCTGTTAATTACCCTGCCGGTTTGTAGGCTGTAGAACCTGTAACCGCCTTGCATGTTGCCAGTGGGACGCAGTGCCAAGGCACCTACTGTGTGTGGGTGTCCGGTCTGTACATACTCCCCAAACTGCAACTTCATATGCTTCCCATAATCTATCCTAAGACCGGTTATGATTGTTCGAGGGCTCAACGTGGTTGACACTCCTGTCAGCTTTGGCAGGCAATTCCACCAGAACACCTGGTTTGCTACCAATTTGACAGTTACTCTGCTGGGTAGTCTTTTGTATGGCAGGGTGCATTGGATTCCTCTCACCCGCTCCTTTATTGTACTTATGTATCCCTCAATCTCTGGTACGTGTTCGTCTTGTGATACAAAGTTCGGTGTGATTCCAAGCTCTGTGATAGTTGCAGCAATGGGTTCAAATTGTATGTCCATACTCATGGTAACAACAGTGAACCCCCACTTGGTGTAGAGGCTTCTTATCTCCGCGATACACTCCTGTAATGTGGTGGATTTTTCATTGGTGATCATGGCTACTGTTCCGAATTGGATATGTCGTGAGATTGCAATGAAGAACCGGATGCCGTTAACATACATGATGTCTGCTTCGAGCTCAACATTCGAATACTTGGACATGATCCCTTGTGGTAGCGGGGAGACGTTTACCCGTACGTGTCTTTCAGATCTCCTAACCGTCTTTCCTTTTAGTCCCACGATGGAATCACCTAATATTTTGTCAGCAATCTTGACATCCTCCTGTGTTACGGGGCAATTCGGTATTGTGTTAGTATCAATCAGTCTAAGCATTTCTTTGGTTGTGATGTTGAGTATATCCTGCATCTTCTGCGCTTGACTTGCTTGTCTCTGATCAAGTGCGGAGTACTTTGCTTTGTTGCCCGTTATGGTGGCAATCCCTGGACTGGTGAATAACATCGCATCCTTATGTATGGGAGCATAGTACAGCCCTTTTGGTGATTGTCTAAACTCCCTGTATAGTGTTCCGTCCTTGCTTTACATCCGGAAGACATTGTCAATCATGCTGTCATATGTGACCCTGTGTTGTTTCTTTATCTGTGATAGCGATAGTATGTTTGCGATTCCAGTTTTGTGGTACCATACTGTCCCCACTCCTGGAAAATCACCACCCATATTGGTGGTGACAACGCCAGTGTTATAGTATATGTACATCGTGTTGCTTGTCTTGTGTATGTTTCTCAGCAACCGTGGGTTACATATAACATTGATCGTCGACTGATTGTCTAGTAGCAACCAGTCTTTGTTAATCTTCCCATCTGCTTGACTGAGTATGTTATCATAGCTAATACTGGCTGTACTTCTGCTGAGTATCCCTTTCGTACAACACATTAGCCCGTAGTACGGTTCCTCATCGTACGTGTCGATATCGTCTTCATTACCGAGCCCGTCTTTTGCGTCAGCAAAGTGTACACAGTTCACTGCAGTGGGATCCTGTTTAGGTGGATCTCGTGGGTCTCCTTGATTCGACCTATTGCTAGTATTGTTCTGTTGTTTATCAGCCTTTTCCAGCTCATATGCAGCCACATCTACTGGGTTGCACATGTTCTCATACAAATAGTGTCCCATCTTGCCGCATTTGTAGCATTTTATGTTGCTACGTACTTGTCGCTGTCCGTTGCTATGCTCGTTTGTGCTTTGTGCAAACATTACTCCGTCCATTGCGGATTGTCGCGTGTTAGCATTGGTGTATCTGGTCCCACTATTCTGTCGATAGTTGACCAGTATATTCTGTGCTTCCACTAAAGTTTCTGGGTAGTTATTCTGTCCCATAAGGAAGTCATTCTCAAGCTTCTGTTTTATTCCAGCGTAGCGTCCGTGGTTCAAATTTTCAATATATATAGTGGCCTGTGCACTGTGTTAGTTCCAGAGCCTTCTTCCGTATAGTACGTTTGGTTTCTTCCTCTTGCGGCACTTCACCCCCATAGTCTCTGTTTATAATCATATAACTGTCGATGCCAGGGATGTGTAGTTCGCCTCCACAGGCTGCCGCTGTGGTTAGTAGGTTCTCAAATTGTTTGAACCACTCTATGTCCATCGTGAACTCTCCTTGTGTGTATTTATAGATTCATAGTGGCTCTCACCGCGGCTAACGGCGGGAACTGTTGCGCTTCGTAGCTGTAGCATATTTTCTTTATGATCCGTAATAGACCAATCACATCAGATGTGTCCTGGACGTTCACTAAGCCACTATTGGCGCTGATCTTTTGTAACATGCCGTTGGTGCACTGGCCGTGTACTGTGCTGTACATTTTCTTCATATCATCATCGTACCACAGCAACTTGATGGTGTGTCGCTTTGCAATTTCCTTGTTCACAGTGAGTTGTATTTCATCCATTGCTGTTATTGCCTCCTTGGTCATTGCTTTAAATGGGTTGCTTGCCTTGATGATCGTATGCACACACGACGCGTCGTCTATTGCTCTTTGCACTTTGACGCCATATGTCCGTCCAGCATATTCAACGAGTTCCCCCTTGGTTTTCATGTATCTTGAGGCTTGTGCTGGTCCCACATTGAAGATATGTCCACTCAGTTGGCCGCATCTCCCTTTGAATCCATTTTGGGTGCTTATAAACCTGTTATTTGTTTTGTTTCTACGCTTTCCACCCCGCGATCTGTACCCGCCTCTCCACGTTGGCGGTGACAGCGAGTTCCACTCAACAATGACCCCTGTTCGCAATATTTTACAGTTAAGTAGGGTACGGTAGGTACGTATGGTGCAGGAGAGGTACCAAAGGAATCTTTTTTACTGTTTTGCACACAGCATAATGTGCAATCCGTTACAAAACAGTTGAAATCCACTGTGAGCTACCGTATTACTACGGATATCATAACAAGTGATCGAGGCACTAAGAAAGTGGTTCCCATATGGTAGCAGTTAATTTAATGATTCCATTCTGAGTGCAGCAGAACATATTACAAAATCTACTGAGGTAGTTTGCAACTATTCTGGTGGCGCAGAACCAATCCTGCTTCTTTCTCAGAAGGCAAGTCATGCTGAAAATTTTGGGGAGCAACACTCAGTAGAGCTCTCCTGTATAATTTGTACTGAAAAATAAGGATGGCATCACTAAATTAATGATGGCAACTACTGGTACTAAGAAGCAGATTCAACACAATGTATCACAACAATTCATAGCAGCCATAATCATTGAAGGAAGCAATGGGGAGACAAGCAGCACACTCAAGGAAACTCTAGGCAACCAATTCAGTCCCCAAGTAAATACTAGTAGATATCCAGCAATGACCAACAAGGCACTGGTGGAGATGTTGTTGAAGAAGAACCAATTCAAAGGTACTAAGAAGCCCTGTCCCAAGCCAAAGAACAGGAGCAGTGGTGGACCCAATAGAGGAAAGCTCAATGACCAGGACTGCGATGATGATGAAAAGGAACCAAAGGAATTGACAACCTTTGTGAATAAGGGAAAGAATGAGTACTAGACTGACTCAATGGCCTTAACCAGTCAACAACTATTAATGACTGCTGTGGACAATACAATAATTTTGGTCAGGACATGGATAATTTCTTTCACTTATGTGAGATTGTAGATTCCACCCCAGTTAGGGATGAGGCAGCAAACTGCCATGTGCAGTGGATGGAACAAGAATCTTACACCAACTCTGTTGACTCACCAACCAATCATGATTACACCAAAAAAGACAGCACAAACTGCAGCAATGATGACTATTGGGACTACTGAGCAACATGAGACGCTGCTGAATCAGGAATGGTGCACATAATGACCAACGCGGATACCTATCTAGAGCAGGGTGAGGATATCACATCATGTGTGTCATGCAATACAGTATTGGTGTACAATGACACCTAAAGGAGTGTGGAAAACACCACTACAGCTGAACTGACTGGGCTAGTCATTCACACTACGCAACCAGATGCTACAGGCCCACCAAGTACTACTAAGCCTACAGGGATCACACAGCTCAGAGATATCAGAGAACTCAACCAACAGCAAGGGCAATCTGGCATCTTGCTACTACTAGTACTAGCGGCCCTGGATCTTGCGTACACTGAGAGCCAGGCGCTACAATATGGGGTGGCAACTCTATTTAAACACAGCCAAAATGTGGAACAATTGTTTGCACAAGCATCAGCAAAGAAAGGGGGACATGTCAATGAGAACTGGATCCAGCTAGACAGCAAGTCATCCTATAATCCAATCACCAACCCAAAGCTTGTTAAGAATATATGAAAGGCCCAATGCGGAAGGAGCATTAATACTTCACCAGCTATAATAAATGCATCACACAAGATCATGCTAGACTGCATCTGAATCAGAGCATTATGCAGACAGTATCGCACCAGAGGCTGATCTGCCTTGTTTACATGATTTCCTGTGTTGTAGTTGATCAGGAACTAGTTGCCTTAGTTTTGATCCTCTGCACAGTAGTAGATCCTAGTAGTCATTCTACAGATGGGCTTCAAAACAGAACTCATTGTTGATGTGGTAACTCATTAATTCTGTTTTGCTTTAGGTGATTCTGTTGGAAAGTGTTGTCATTGAGAATATGAATTCTCAATGATCTATATGTAGTAATATTTAGTATATATAATAGTATATGTGGTTTAGTAGACAAGAACCTAGTATATGTGTAGGTCCAGTCCCAGGGACTCATGATTGATTCTTATCCTGTAGTACTTGTCCCGTACCATAGATTTGTGGGTTCACGAGTGCTTCAGGAATGGTCCTTACTACTAGTACTACTAGACCTGGTTCCAGATAGCTTGGAGGTCAGTGCGGCAAGGTGGGGAGGGACTATCAACGGTGCTATTTTTGAATGGTTGAGACAATTCATCTCCGAATACGATAATATTTTCTATGAAAAAGAATTGATTTTGAGCATGAGAAAGGGCATCGAACTCCACATGAGAAATGAGTGGTACGAGAACATGTTCCAAGGAAAATGGCCAGATAATTGAGTGCGAGCATCACAAAATACACGCGAAAATTTTATTTTATGTACCCAGGAAAAACAACGTACCATAGTACCGGTTTGTGTGACGTAGTACTGCTGGTCCTACACAACTGGTCCCAGTACTCCTAGGCCTAGTATGTACTCCTTGCAAATATGAATTCCAATCTGATGAAAAAATGTGATCACAATCAATCACAAAAAATGTGATCAAGAAATTCAACAATTTTGTGAGCATTTCTGATCACATTTTTTTTTATCAAAACCAATCAACAAAATGGGGGATGGGAGAATCTAAATTTGCCCCAAAAATCAAAATCGACACGGTTCCTGGTTTTCGATTCGAGTCATTCGACCAAAATTTGAGAGTGCGCAGTCCCACCAACATTCAATCAAGGGTGATATGCCCCATAACAGCGGAATAACCGCTAACTTTGTCCGAATGAGGTTTCTCCCGCGATTGATTCGTTCATTCCCGCCAAAGTCGTTGGATCTTGTGCATTGTCAAATACGGCCAAAATCGTGGGAAAAATAATCGATGCGTTACAACATTGGTTTTTTGAACGATACTGCCTCCATGTACTGTACTTCGTGGTATGCCACTTACGAGTACTGGACGAGTACCGTACGAGATGACGATTACGAATTATCACACGATACGAATGACCACCGGAGCAGCGGCATTTAGGTAATTGAAGTAACCGGGCTCCGTGATCGCAAGCTGAAGACTTGGAAGATTTTAAAGATAGCATCCTTAGCCTTGTAACCTCTGGAAGGGACCGAAGGCAGCATAGCGCAGCAGTACAAGCAACTTAGTAGCAGCCTTTGCAGTGTTACATTTTGACTGATCTATCAATTGGCATTTTATACCGAAACTCTGTCCGAAGAAAATGAGTCAAGGAGTTATTTACCAAATCGACTTCAATGCAGTAGCAGCCGGGAAGCGAGTCTCTTCTTCCAAAAGAAAGATCAGATGGTACGTATTTGTAGCCAATAATTGTTGCCGATGTCGATTGCTTTCGGATTCTTATTTTCAAAGTCATAGGCGACTCGGATCGACTCTATTTTGCTCGGTGTTGCTTTCGTTCACTTGGAAAAGATACGAAATTAACAATTGATCTTTCACTTGCTTCGACATCATCATTGCACTGGAATGCTCCTGTCAATATGTAAAACATCAAATTTTCAGGCGCTTTGGATTTGCTAACAAGCAGGCGTTGGGAGAAGGCCTGAACGGAACAGATTGTCGTGGGGAGGAACACGATGTGACTATTGTGTGGTCGATCACATCTGGGAAGCGTCAAATTATGATGGATGGAAAAGAAGTTCACTACTCTACCAACCGTGCTGGTGTTCTTGATCATAGTTGGCAACTCAAAGGAAATCATGTGGTGAAAGTAACTTGCCATGCAGCCCCTCCGATGTCTGCGCAACCTGGATTTCGCCAATACGATTTGTCGATCGACGGCCAATCTTTTTTTTCCATGCCCAAGGTCTTTCAGATTGGCATCAAGGGTGCTGTTCCTGGCCAAAGTCCAGGTCGATACAGAGGCTACCAATCGCATACTCAGAACTTCAGTAGTGATGCGCCCTTGACGAGAGAACAGGAAGATGCGCAGCTGCATAAAGCTATCCAAGCATCCATCAATGAAAGTCGACAGCATTTAGGGGAGATTCCAAAGGGAAATCCTCCTCCCAGCAATAACACCAGTGATTTGCTAGGATTTGCCGGCCCACCCGCACCTCAGCCAGGGGCGTACGCCCCTCCCTCTTCGGACGCGAGATCCGTGGCGAGTTACTACAGCGCTCCAACCACATATGATCAGTCATTCCAATCCCCTCCCCCTCCAACCTATCCAACCCCCGCACCAGCACAACCTAGTGTTGCACAAGGTGCCATTGTACCAGCGGTCGCTCCCCCTAGTTACTACCAGGCTCCACCGCCACCTGCCGCGGTTCCCACGTATGCTAGTCCGTCACCTGTTCCTCCGCAATATGTCAGCCCACCGCTGCCGCCGCAACAAGCAGCCTTTACCAGTCCCCCTCACGTTCCTCCCGCTCCGGCATCGACGCCTGTCGGTGACGTTTTTGGTCTCCATCAAGCACCTGTAAACGACCCATTTGCTCCCAAACCACCTCCCCCAGTCGACTTGGCAACTGCTGTCATGAGTGCGTACCACTCACCACCCACTGGCACTGCCACACCCCAGACACCGATGAATGAGCGTAATGAAGCACAATCTGCAACTCCTCAAACGAACGGCAACAACGGAGCAGCTCTATCCATGAACTCGTTGACAATCGCTTCGGCCGCCGAAGAGAAACCTAAAAGCGAATTTGAAAGGGCTCTGTGCAACTTGGTGAACATCGACCACATCGACGAACCAGCAGAAGGAGAGGTCAAGTTGACAATGATGAGAAAAGATGAGAAGAAGAAAAAGGCAGTCAACGGGAAGAGCGTTCCAAAACCACCCATCTGTCTGGGCATCGCGGGTTCCAATGCACCCCTTTCTCAAATTCAGAAGGATTTTGCATCTCCAAAAAGCCAAACCACGGAAGGAGTCATGAACGCACCCCCACCAGGAGTATTTAGCCCCCATGCCGCACAGGGTGGAGCTCTTGTCGTACACGGACAAGGGCCACCTCCTCTTCAACAGGCGCAAGGCTTTGGTGTTGGTGCCATGTTGCCAAACGGGGGTTTCCAGAACCAAAAGAACGCTGTTCCGGGTCAATACATGCAACAACAAAGACTCTACCAATAAACGATACGGAATGCAATATTCTTATCCGAAGTTGATTCATACATGTTTTTGACACTACTAGAACTTAAACTTTCGCTGTTTTCCCACCACTCTCCCTCGCGCTGTCAGCGATGGAGAGAGAGGAGAAAGAATCCAAATATCAACCTTAGATAATTCATTTTTTCGCTCTGTTCTTGTGATACAAACAAAACAATTCAAACGTCAAATCTACTTCGATCTACTGGTATAATTAGTGTATTATCTAATGGTGTTATAGCAATATTGACAAAGAGAATATGAATGAATATTCCCTCAATGTTTTCCTTTCCAAAAAACTCAACCGTAGACCGCTATACCAAATTCCTATCCCCTTTGCAATGGCACGGCGAGCAAGAAATGAGGTTGGCTCAAATTAGGTCCGCATCGTCGAAGTTGAAACCAAGATCATCGAGACCATCCCCCAAAAAATCCTCATTGGAGAAATCGTCTCCTTTCAAAGCCAGTTTTGCGGATTGCTCGATAAAATCGTCTTCTTTTTTGTCTTCTTTTATGTACTTTTTGGACGGAATGCCTTTTCTCTTCAGCGGTGCTGCCGCAGCCACCTCCGCTGCGGCTTTTTTCGCCGCCACCTTTTGCTCCTTTTTCTTTTTCTTCTTCTCTTTTTTCTCTCTTTCCTTTTGTCTCTTTTTCCTTTCTTCCTCTTCTTTCTCTTCTTCTTTTTGTTTTATTTCTTTTATCTTTTCAGGTGACAACCAAATTTCGGGATGGAGACTTGCGATCTGGTCTGTTGCTTCGAATTCAATACCATCTTCCATCCATGGTTCGTAGTCTATGACTACTTCTTCTTCTACTTCTTGCAAGACTTTGTTTTGATTCGCAAGACTTGGAATTTTTAGCTTCCTGCCTTTTCCCCCTTCCTTTGAAATTTTGCACATGAGTTCGTGAAGCTCCCTTTCGACGTCGGATACTTCGTTGCGAGGAAACTTGATTCCCGGCTGATGGTCTCGTTGCCCAAACCGTCGCTCAACGACTTGTTTCATTGGCAGGGTTATTCCCGAATGGTAATAGGACGGGTACCCAGTCTTCTTGGGATAGGCATCGGCGTCATCGAGAGCCATAGAGTCTTCATACACAATCAGCATCTGCGCAATGTCACAGCATTTGTAATACATGGCGTGATCGTGCGTTTTGTGGAGTTCAACCGGGCACGGCAAATTGACAAGTCGTGCCGGATAGGTTGCGCCGTCGCAATGAAAGTTCCATAGCGTAGAGCTGTCTTTCGTCGGTTCGCATGCGACGCCGTCTAAATCGAGCAGTATTTCTTTGTTGTGGTTACCACTGCTACTACTCGTTCTGCCGGTATTGCTTCTCTCCGTTGCTGATTTCGTATCGGGATCGGTGTCGGCGGCTTCCTCTACTTCTTTCATCTTTTACCAAGGTTTTGTTGTGCATTAGAAGAAAGCAACAATACCACCCATCAATTGACAAAAAAAACATCAGAAGGACATGTTCCACGAACAAAACAGTTCTTCGAATCAAAGTTGATTTAGAAATGCATAAGGACGTACCTTATCTCTCAATCGCGTTTCCAAGCCGGGAACGAGAACCCTCAGTACCAAAGTTCTATCGCGGATCCCGAGGTGACGGTCTCCCATGATCCGACTTTTTCTTCCTTTTTCAGCGAATTATTTGGCGTCGATTATGAACTCTTTCTTTCTCTCTTTCTTTGCTTCGCTTTCCCAGTTAATGGAATTCATGGAACAGATAGCAGTTGTGGTGGTAGGTTTTGTTTTCGTCGAGACTTGTAATATGTCGTATCGTATTTGTTGAGTCGATTTTGTCGACTCTGTAAACTACAGTCGACAGCTGTAGTCTACCGGTATCGTACGGTGTACCGTACGGTAATAATTTAGACCCCTAGCTGCTGGTACAGTGTACGGTGCCTTGTACAGTAAGGTTCTACTTTCTCAGTTTTGGGTTTTTAGTCGAATGGGTCATAATTTGTCCATTTCTGTACTTCAAAGTATTACAGTACTACGGTATACGGTACGTACGTACTTCTTCGAAATAACAATGAACAAGCCGTCCCTCCGTTGTCCGCGAATATGATTTCCAATGCTAATACGTAATACCAACCAACCTCGATTTTCTGAGCCATCAAGAGAAGTACGTGATTCTTACCCATCAGTAGTAAAGTATAAAGTACAGCGATTCATAAAATTCTTTCAACTACTCTGTACATGTACCATAGGGGACTACTGTACTACTGTACGAATTATTCGTAAATAAATCGTTGCATCAAACAAGGGACGGAATGTGAGCCATTCCTGAATCGGTGAATTTTCTTCCAGTCGACCGCAGTTGAACTGACTAACAAATCAAAGAACAGCATACATCTTTACCAAAAGAGAAGAAGATGATAATCTCTCTGCTCTCCCTCTTGGGAATATTTCAGGTGTCTGTGGTTAATGGTTTTCTCCCTATCTCATTACAGAAATGTCACTCCCAAGATGTGCCGACAGGTACAAGCAGCACGAATGTAATCGAAAGCAGGGGCGTCCATCAGCATACAAGGTCGACAACTTCTCGGCTTTTTGCAGATACGTGGGACCGCATGGAAATTGAAGAGGACGACCAACCCTATTGGTATCTGCTGAACTGCGTTGCAGGCCTAGAAATGGATCTGCTCCGACAAGTAAAACAACTCGCCCAAGATCTGCCACAGGCTGATGTAGTCAAGTTTGTAGTGCCCACAGTTACCAAAACACGCTCGCATGGGGCGAACAGGATGGTTCGAGAAACGAAGGTCAAATACCAGGGATATGTCTTTGCGAAACTTAGATTGACAAGAGAGACCTATGAACCTATCCGAAACATGGATCTTTGTCGTTCATGGATGGGAACTATCAATATGAAGGGATACAAAAAGCTTCCTCCTGCACCGTTGCCTCTCAGTGATGAAGAGATTGAAAGCTTCGACTTGGAAAATCCGAAATGGGAAATCGATGAGCAAGATAAATCGACTGGTAACGATAGCGACGGTATTATTTTGGACACGCACGAAAATGATATGAAGGAGATGGAAGAAGAAGAAGCTATCGAACAAGAAGTGGAAAGGGTTTACAAGGGCCTGAAAGTTGAAGACATGATCAAGGTAACCGGGAGAAATAAATTCAAGGGCGAAGATGGAATCGTTAAACGACTCAAAGAGGAAATGGTTTTGATTCGATTTTTCACCTATGGGCAAACCTTTGACGAATGGCTGGACCCGAGTGATGTGAGAAAACTTACCGATGACGAGGTCTTGAAGGGTCTTGGCGGACCCGGCAAACCCATTACGCAACAGGATTTGGAGGGTCCTCGAGACCGCAGGGAAGATAAACCGCAGCGAAAATTTGATTCGAGAAATAGTGTCGGTGCCTTTGGTGGCGGGCCTTCACGCGAGCGAAGGCAAGATCGCAACGAGCGTCGCTTTGGAGGAGAAATGGACCACAAACAGGAGCGAGAAAACTGGAGTCAGTTCAAGGAAAACGAAAAACGTGGACGCCGGGGTAGAAGCTACGATGACGGCAATGGTGTTGAATTTCGTCCTGCATCCGAGGCGGAAGGCGACGTCGATAGTCAATGGGGAAGACGTCGCCGTTCGAATCAGCAGGAAGACGATTGGAGCTCGTTTGTCTCCCAGGGACCATCTGACTACAATAAAAAAAACAAGAGTTCGCCTAGCAAAGAAGATACCGATGATTTCTTTGCCTCGTTGATGACCGATCTTTCAAAAGATATTGATGGACACAGTGGAAAAAGCAGAGATCAACCACAAGAATCTTCAGGTTCTGATAGCGACGACGACTTTTTCGCTTCGCTCATGTCGGAGATCAACGATTCACCTTCCAGTCAAAAACAAAAATCTTCAACAAATGGTGGCGACGATGACGACGACTTCTTCGCATCGTTGGAAAGAGAAATCAGAGGGTCCAAGAGTGCGACCTCAAAACCAAAGAGGGCTGAGAAGGAAACCAAACCAGATATTTCTAGCGCTCCTACAGCCGACGAGGACGACTTCTTTGCGAGTCTCGAGATGGAGCTCGAGACGGATCTCGGAGAATCGAAGAGCCAGGGTTCGGAACAGAGTGCCGATGCCGCGGAAGATGACTTCTTTTCCAGTCTGGAATCCGAGCTAAGCACTGATCTGAGCAGCTCGGAGACGATAGATGCACCGGCGTCGGCCAAACAAACACGCGCTCCCCAAGTGACGAGCTCGAGCGAATTCGATGCGTCCGATCTGAAAAAGCGGACTGTTCCTGAACTCAAAGCAATCCTCAAGGACCGCGGTTTGAAGGTGTCGGGGAAGAAGGCCGATCTCATCGAGCGACTTACTTCTGGTGTATAAAAGTATGCGGGTTGGTTGGTTCCGTATTGGTACATCTACCAGGGATTGGCATGTGTTTTTATTGTTCGGGTATCGCAGAGCTAGACACCTTAGATCTGCAGTGGATACCGAAAGAGCACAGCATCCGAATGCAAGAGGCCTTTCTATATTTCTAATATTTTTAAATCATATTACTACTTTTCCACATAATAATATGAAAGGCACACAATATCGCATCGACAAAATAAAAATGGAATCATTGAATACACGTAGCAAATGCTCTCGTTCTATTGCTAAATAGCCTGATTAGAAGCTCGATGTGTTATTTATTAGCTGTGCACCCTTTGGTCATTCTTTATTAGCATTGCACTCTTAGGCGCAGTCTATCTTTGTGGGTCTTCCCGCCTTTTTGCATGTTTTAGAAATTTCATAACCCCATATCCGATGGCAGATCCGTCACGAACATGTGGCCGGCACTATGTGTGATGGCAAAAGGGACCTTTGCATTCATAAGAATACTCTGCGGTGTCACGCCGCATGCATGGAAGACAGGAACTTCACCCTCATCGACAGTGATCGATTCCCCCCATTCAGGATTATCAATGTCCTTGATGCCAATAGCCAATGCCGACCCTACAGCAACCGGTCCGCCGTGAGCATGTGTGTACTTGGAAGTAATTTCGATCTGTGGAAAAAGAAACAAGAAATGAGTTGGTTGTTTTGTTAGGTTCAAGATTGATTTCTTGGACACAAGAAAATAATAGGAAACATGTATTGCTTACGTGTTTTGAAATTTGCAAGGCAGGAATGGGTTTCATGCTGACCACCATGTTACCACTCAGTGAACCGGCCGAACGACATTTGAGAGTAGTGTTGTACATCGGTACGTTTTTTCCCTGTTCGGCACTCTTTAGTGGAATCCCAGCATTCATCAATGCCCCATCGTATGAGAAGCTGCATCCGATCAAAAAGGCTACAGAGTTCTCGGGCCAATAGCTGGTGACATCCGTTACTTCTTTTTCGAGTTTTCCATTGCGATAGATAGCGTATCTGCACAAAAAGAGTTTTGTCAGGAGAGAAAAATGAAGTGAGAAACGACGAGGAAGCGAACAATAACCGGTTATTGCCTCGCCCCGTATTCTTTGTCATGGCAAATACAAATTCGATTGTTCTACTCACTTTGGCACGTCAGTCCTCAGATCTGCCCCGGGTGCAACCCCAAATGGATGGGGAGAGCCAACATCGCACACCTCAATGAGGGGACAAGCCTTTGGATTGCGCTGGCAAAATAGGAGAAAGTCAAAGGATATCGGCCCGTGGGGCAAGACAACCAGATTGCACTGCATAAACCCCGGGCAAACGCCATTGGTGGGCGTGGTAAAATCTCCCCTCCGGACCTCCTCGCGAAAGGCACGTGAGAGATGCAATACCTCATGCAACCGGGGAGCCCCGTGCCAGTCCAGGCTATTGTTTCTGCTGTTGCAGCCATTTTTGGCGCGATCACTTTCATGGTCGTCCTGTGGGGACGCGTGGACGTCGCAAGAACCATCGGCGGGAAAGGCCTCGATCAATGGTTCCTGGTTTTGCGGTAAAGGTTCCGTTGTCGGAGGCTTGAACGCCTGCTGCACGTCTCGGATGTCGACCTTGTTGCTGTTCGACGAGCGAGAAGGCCCTATCTTGATCCTACCCACCGCTCGCTGCAAATCATCCAGTTCGGACTGCGTAAATGTGTTGGCGGGGGATCCCTCCTGGGGTTGACAGGCCGGCAATAGCTGTCTCAAAACCTCGTCTTGCTCTTCTTTCGTCAGCGTGTTGTTGTTGATTTTGAGGTGGGGGTCAGTAGCGGTCATGGTGGAGTCTTCGATTCGGCTTTATTGTGCAGTTTGTATTCCTTTTTGAGACGATGAGAAGGCTACCAGAACAGGGTTTGGTGTTCATGAACCGAACTACTAATCCGCACACTGTTCTGGTTGGTGTACTTATTTTATTCCGGTATTTTCGGAATCGCAACTCACGCACCGCACACATTGCTTGTGAAACAAAGCCTTTTACTGTAATACGGTGCGAGAAGTTTTTCCACCGAGATTCCATCATCATATTGAAACACGACACGATAGTCTGGTGAAAAAAGTGGACCTCTTCACATCGAAAAGAAGACAGAGAGAGAGGTCGTAGTTACGAAGTCCTACTTATTGTCTTTGTCTTGAATCTTAAAAACAGAAGCTCTCGTGGAATTTCTAATCGAAATTCAACAGCTGGTTCCATCATCGACGTCATACCTTTAATAGGTATGAAAACTATTACGCATACCAGACGTAAAGTAAAAAGTAATGCTACGATTTTCGATTTTTGAATTTGGCAACTTTTTCAAACTCAAAGTCATCGTTCAATCATCCTCGTTCCTGTTCCTGCTTTTCATCGAACTCGACAGACTATTAATTGCATCGAACTGCTACTCGCACCTTAGCTATTTTTAGCGAAGCACGACAGGTTCAATACTCTATTAACCAACCAATTAAGATGATAAGCGACAACGCAAAAATAGGAACTGGGCTGTTGGCGGGGGTGAGTATGTTTTATATCTATTTTTATCTGATTGCTGTTCTGTTCTACCAGCAGCCGAGAAATGATGGACGGCCCAGTCCTTTGTGAATCGGTTGTGTCAAAGAATGGTCGATGATTATTGTATTGTTTGTTGACAACCAACATCCAATACCCAACTCTAACGGATATCGTGTTTTACAGGGAGTAGCATGCCTCTTTTTGGGTATTATGTTCTTCTTCGATCCTGCCCTGTTGGCAATCGGGGATGTTTTATTTCTGATTGGACTCACGCTGACGATTGGTAAGTCTTGTTTGGTATTGTATACAGAACGAGGAACACAAAACTCCGTCGGCTATTTCGATAAGAAAATAAGACCGTAGAGTATTCGTCACTAATTCGAACGATTTTTTCCCTGCCTGTCTTTCTTTTTATACCCTACGGTACCATTTTCTCGCTTGACGCCACAGGCCCTTGGAGGACCCTCCGATTCTTCTCTCGATCGGATCGCATTCGAGGTGAGTTTCGCTACTTATCCATCGTTTCTTTGTTTTGTAGGACGGTCAAAGAAGTCGGACCTCGTCAACTTTCTGATCGTGGTCGTCCCCGTTTGATTTTCGTTCTGTCAGGTATCATTAGTTTCTTTGGTGGAGTCATTCTGGTGATGATGAGATGGGGAATGATAGGGATGATTTGCCAGCTATATGGACTGGTGTATCTTTTTGGTCAGTTTTTTCCGATTATCTCGCAATCCATGCAGAATACACCAATCATCGGAGACATTTTGAAAATCCAAGCGGTGGAAGACTTCTTTTCGAACTTTGGAGGAGGAAGTTCTCGACGAGCTCCAGTTTGAGCAATGCGGGTGCCGTATTAAAATTGTTGTCTTCGCAAGAAGAGGAAGGAAGATCGTACCATTATCAGAAAAGAGCTGCCGCGGATAATTATTTAAAATCATTATTAGAGCTAGCGGTGTATAGAAATTAAGAATCTTGTTCTATCGGAAATCCATGAAGCAACATTGCAGGAAAAACTCTGGAACTCAAATCATCAGGGCTGTCGGGTCTGCTCTGACAATTTCAAAAATGTCATTTAGTTCCTTCGCTTCCTTCGTTTCTGCTGCGTGAATAATTGCCAGTCGTTCTTTTTCCAAAGCCTCGGACGTCATGCTCAAATTACGACTTCGAATATTCGCGGGTTCGGGGCTAGTATCATCCACAGAACATGGTTTCAAGCAACATCGAAAAGCCACAATGTGTAATGGCAACATCCCATCTTTGTCTGGGCACTTGATCGAGTTTGGATTCGCATCGAAAAGACAGGACAGACCATTCTCCCAATCCTTATTCGCCATGCAAGCTAGATGCAAAGGTAACCGTCCATCGTTATCGGCTACTAAGGCGGCCTGTGGGTGAAGTTCTGCGAGTTTTGAAATCAATTCTTCGTCCGAGCTCTCAGAAGATGCAGCCATGTGAAGCGCGTACCAGCCTCTCCTATTCCGCTCGGTTTGTTTGACAGCGACCCGGAATGCATCGTGAATCAGCTCGACACTCTTCCAAGAATGCCCAGACTCGCATGCTAGATGCAATGGATAAAATCCTTTCCGATCAGCCTGGCGAGCTGCCTCGGGGTAAGCCTCCGCAAGTTTGCCAATCATGGTGAAATCTGAATCGACATTCTGCGCAGCAAAGTGAAGGGGGAATCGTTCGTAGCATTTTACCCCCGCACGATGTTCAGCGGCATCGGGGTTCGCATCGAACAGTGTTTGGGCCTGCACATCCCAGCCACCACCATTTTGGGCCAATAGATGTAGTGGTAGGCAGCCAAAGTGATCGGGTATTCGGGCAGCATCTGGATATTCCCGTAGCAGATTACATATTACGGACCTCGAGACGACAGAATCGTTCCCAATGTTTTTGTTGAAGTATGCAATAGCTTTCGACGCCCTATGAAGGGGAAGTCTTCCATTCGTGTCAATCGCCATTATCGCATCTTTGTTGGAACCGTAGACTTCATCTACAAAAATCCATTCAGATTTGAACTTGTTTTCGGAAATCATATGAAGCGGTGTGCTGCCTTCAGAATCGACCCTCTTTACGGCACTAGAATTGAGCGAAAGCAACTGCGTTATGACCTTTCTCCCCGGTTCGCCACCGCAATTAGATGAAGCCGCAAGGTGCAAAGCAGTTAGATTCGAAGGATTACACTCACTGCTACCTTTTGATTTGTTGTACACACGATCTGTACGCCTCAGATCATTGCTGTCCAGTTCGAAAGCCTGTTCTGGATGAAGACTGAATGCCAAAAGAAAGAGAGTGTAGTGGCATTTTATGGCCGATACAGCATGCAGCACCCTCCATTTTCGTTCGTGTCGTGTATCTTTTTTCTCTTCTTCATCTATGCGGAGTCGCTCTACCAATTCCCAGTCTTCTTCTAGTCGAAACCCGAAGGCAGCCTTTAAAAATCTATTGACTCTGTTCCATCGTTCTAAAACTTTCGGCTGTCGTTCCAGCCGCTGTCTCACCAATTTCGAGTTTTTGATGCGATCTTCTAGATTGAGTTGGGCATTCATGCCAAACGACCAATTCCTAAAGCTGGCGTTGAAATCTATGTTCTGATTTTCTTCGGTCCCCACCAAAATTTGTTGCAAGGTCTTCTTTCCTACGGATTTCTCAGCCCAGTCGTTCCACACCAATGCCAGCGGCGAATCCGCATTCCGATCTTCCTCCAAGACCGCCGACGGGTCCTTTTCGATCAAAAGACTCGCCACGCCGGTAGGTGCATCGTATCGCACGGCGTAATATAATGGCGATCGACCCCTCCGATCCGGTTTCGAGACAGCCAGGTTACCCTTATCCTTATACATGTGCAAAAGCAATTCGACCACAGCCTTCGGAGCTTTGAATCGACATGCATAATGGAGTGGGAGCCATCCTTTTTCTTCGGCGATCAATAGAGCATCGGGGTAGGCATTTATCAGAGCTTCCACTACTTTTGGATACGGACACCGTCGGTTGCAGGCGTGGTGAAGGGCCGTCCAGGCATCTCCTCCGATGTAGGCAGCTGACTCTGGTTTCTCTTCGCACAACCTCGCCACCGTTTCCCAGTTCCCAATTCGTGCCGCGTCGTGAATGTCTGACGACACGACGTTGACGTTGACGCTGCCGGTTGCACCGGCTTCTCCGACTGGGTCTTGAACGGCGGGCAAAAACAAGGAATTAGAGGATGTAAAAAACGACTCGTCTGCGGTCGTCATCACAGAGTTACTCCCCCACAATACCTCTCCGTAGGGGTGAGAAAGAGTCGACCCCATTTCGTTGTTTCTAGGTCCATCCGCATTACTGCAACCCTGAGTAAGAAATGAATAACTATCAAGGCTGTTCTGTCGGCTATGGTGTGCAGTTGTATTCGAGGCATCGTTGAAGCCGTCGAGTCCTGAAATTGCCGTGAGCGATGATGTTGTTGTTGTAAACAAACTATTTCTATCAGCGAGATGGTTTGTGCTAGTGGATTCGTTGGGTTCGTTGATTGCTGATGGCATCGACAGGCTTTGTTGGATCCAACTTTCTACGATTCGTTCGCCTGCCGGAATTTGGTTCGGCGTGTGCTGGGGTGTCAAAGATGTTCGGATGATAGAAGCACGATAATCCGATTGTGCTTGTTCTCCTCTTGTAAACGTTGAAGATCCACTACAATCCTGCGCGGTGGAGGATTCCTCCTGATCGGGATTGCAACGTCTCATCCCACCGTTTCCATATTCGATCGGGCCAGTTCTCTCCATAATGGTCTTTTGCCTACTCCATTTACTTATTGTTTAGTGCTATGCATCAATGTCGAAGTGTTCTCGCTCTCTTGCTTTGTTACGATGTAGATAAGAAAAGAGATTATTGGTGTAGATCGATTTGGTCGTTCGAAAAGAGAGATGGTTGGATATCTCAAGGTAAAGGGTTTGCTCGAATGAAGTATGGTTCTCGTACGCAAGAACAAAAAATATTGAATAATTTAAGGCAACGACAGGACAGAGAGAACGACGTACAGCATCTCTATTTTTTGCCGTTAAGCTTGTACAGCGATGTACGTAGTTTTTTCTGTGTTCTCGTCTCACATCTCGCAAAGACATTATTTCAAGTCCTGACCCATACATAATTCGCAGTAGAATTGGTACTGGAGTACGAGTACGCTTTTGTGAGTATGGTACGAGTACTCTTATGAGGACTTACTATTCTACAGCCTGTACTAGTACTTTCTTGTTCGTACCTCTTGTAATTTGACCACGAAGAAAATTTAAAGACGAGCCTGTGCGCGCACGTGTACGTACTGATAAAACTATGTGCAGTTCGATATGGTCATAAAGTACGTACAGTACGCTCAGTCTTGTTTGCCTCGCGTTCTTTTTTATTGGCTATTTCGTGGCTGAAATTTAGAAATGATCGAGTAAACGGCTATTGATCGATAAAGCACGATTGATTATCATTGTTGCCTGGTTCGTGCACGATTATAATTTTGTGCATGGCAGTTACACAACTTGGCCCTACAGTTCGTACGTACCATACCATACAGTACGTACCGAAATCTTCGGCTTCGGTGTCCTTGTTTTTAGGCCTGTACAGTATGAGTCGTAAGTAATCGCAAGTAACGTACGGTACTAGTAATTGTGCGTTACAGTACGTACCGAGTTCGCAACTTCACCGTTACCCCTGTCTCCCATGGTGCCTTTTGCCATGCCGACGATGGTTGTATCGCATTCCCGCTTATGGTCGTATAGGCAAGGTAACTTATCGCCAATCAGTCAATCAGTCAATTGAGATATAGTAGCAGATCCGAGATGGCTTCGTCCTCCTCTGACACCGGCGACGATTCGAAAGTCAATCTGCTGGATCTGAGCGCAGCCGCGATATCCTCTGCCATTGTTGCGGCCGATCAAATCATCGCACTGGCTTCGGGCAATGGCGACGGGTTGGACGACGCGGGGGACGAAAACAAAAAAAATGCTAGGCTCAAGATCGATGGATCCTTCGTTACGGATGCCGATATGGCGGCACAGCAAATCATCGTCGACGCCCTCTACAAGGTGTCGAGTGGTATAAGAATCATTGGTGAGGAGAACGAGGAGGAAATGAGGAAGCGCGCCATTACCGGCCACGAGAAAAAACTCGAATCCATGTTTGAATTGGCCCGAAAGGAAGTATCCATGCGATATCAAGAGTTGCCATGCGATAAACTTCCATTGTCGCAAAGCAAACAAGGAGAAAAGGACGAACCCGTAACAGCAAAAGAGGATGTGACAGAAAAGGATTCGTATGTTGCTGTTATCGACAAGATGCAAGAATACGAAGTCGGTACGAATCGAGTCACTATCTGGATCGATCCATTGGATGCCACGAACTCGTACGCGAAAGGGGACTACGGTCCTGTCTCGATCCTGGTAGCCATTATAGTGGATCAAATACCATGCTTTGGCGTCATTTGCAAACCTTTTGGGTACTCGGGGCAACCACTGATCCTGGATACGGGATGCATGGCCGCTTATGGGGGAACTCTTTTGGGTGCGGCCTACATTGCGGGAGGTAGTCGCTTACAAAACATCAATCAGAACAATCAGATCGTCATCACAAAAGACCTCCCAAGGGCGGTTATTTCAAAATCCCGCTCCCAAGGCATTCAGAATTTTGTCACACACATGGCAGAAAAGGGACTCGTTCATCCCGATCCCCTTTTGGTCAGTGGGGCGGGGGAGAAATCCCTGCGAATAATAACACGATTTGAAAACGAGGGTCTATGGTTTTTCCCGAGTGGTGGTACATCCTTGTGGGATGTTGCAGCTAGCGATGCTCTTCTGAGAGCAATTGGGGGAAAATTGACCGACAAATACGGGAACACCATGGATTACAGCAAGACCAGGAAAGAAGCAGAAAACGAGGACGGTGTCGTGGCTTGCTACGATGAAAACTTGCACTCAGAGTGCATTCGACTCTTCTCGGAGGCTTCGTGGGAATAATCCAACAATTTAACGAACCGTTCGACGGATTTTAAAGATTGCTATTCGATCGGGTTTCTTCTGCGATTCGCGCTCAGGTTGCAATTGCACGTGCAGCACTGGATCCGAGTTGAGCATGAAATTGAACACAAATAAAACAGCCGCATTCGATCATACAGAAAGAAAACAACTCCAGACATAATTCACAAATACAACGAGTAGAAAACTCAATTAGCGCAAAGTAATTTACGGACACTTCCTGATCGATCCCTTTTTTCTTTCAAAACTAGAATTCGTTAGGATGTTATTTGCTATGTTGGTTTATTGATTTGATTCTCTAAGCCGTTTCCACGACGCCGGCAGCGATCAATTTTTGGATCTTTCCTCTCATGTGTGGGTCGTTCATGGCCTGTTGGGCCGCCGACGGGTTTTCGCCGAAATCCCTCAGGGTTTGTTGAACGAGCGGATCCTGGAGAATGGCCTGGATTTCGGGATCTGCCATAGCGTGCGCGGCTTGCTCCCTCTTTTGCTCGTCCGTCATCTGGGAACGACCGTAGTTGATCTGCATGGTTACCTTTTGGAGACCGTCCTTGCAGGCAGCATTTTTGGGATCGATCTCTAGCCCGTTCTTGTACGACTCCATGGCTTTGTGGTATTCCTTAAAGGCCATTTCGATGTCTCCCTTTCGGGCCCATGCCTTGGTGTATTTTGGGTCGAGCTCCAGGGCCTTTTCAACCTGTACCTTAGCACCATTGAAATCCATAATTTTTGTCAGGGCGGCGGAGAGGTTGTTGCGAATGGCGGCATCGTTCGGTGCACGCTTGACGGCTTCTTCGTACTCTTTGATTGCCTCCGGAAACTTCTTTTCCCGGAAGAAGTCGTTTCCGCGCTGCTTGGCTTCCTGCGCCTTGCCCTCATCCTGGTAGTCAAGTTTGTCCTTTTTCTTCTTCTCAAGTTCCAAAGACTTGAGGAGGCGCTGGGTGTCTTTGTTGTACGCTTCCAATTGAGAGGATTTGCACATTTCGATTGCATTCGCAAGGTCTCCCTTCTTTTGGTATGCTTTTGCACAGCGGGTCAGGGCCTTCGCTCGGTCTTCGAACGGCGCCATATTTTCTTTTCCTACTTCCACCGATTTGTTGCATTCCTCGATACACTCGTCGTATTTTTTCATAGTAAAGTAGACCGCGGCCTTGTTCAACAAAAAGGTCATGCAGGTAGAATCAATAGCAATAGCTTCGTCGTATGCCGCCAAAGCCTCTTCGAACTTTTTGGCCTTGTACAGGCTATTTCCTTCCTCCTTTTTTAGGCGGGCTTTCTTTTGAATTTCTTTCTTCTCGCGTTCTTCCGGGGAAAGTGTGGACCAGTCTTCCTCCATGGGTTTTGGTTTCGGCTCTTCTTTTTTCTTCGGTGGTGCGGGTGTGGGTGCAGGAGCCGGTGGCGATGACGGCTGGCTCGAACCCGGTGATTCTCCCATCAATAGCCCGAGCATTTCCATCATTTTTGGGTCGCTCATCATGGTGGGCAGCAGATTCGGATTTTGCTGGATCATTTTGATCTTGCCCATGACGGTGGGATCGTCGAGGTACTGTTTGAATCGTGGGTCCATTGCCATCTGTGCAAGCATCGATGGGCTAAAGAGGCCTCCACCCGGTGGTCCACCACCCATTCCCGCGGGGGGCGCATCCTTCTCCCGTGTCACGTCCGCGAGGCCCTTCTTGAGGGCCGGGTCGTTGGGAAATTTTTCAAGCCCCTCGTTGTATGCGGCAATGGAGTCGTTGTATCGCTTCAGGGCATGAAGGGCCGCACCCTTTCTAGAATATCCCTTCGTGAATTCTGGGTTAAGGGCTATGCATGAATTGGCATCCTCTAGCGCATTGTTTCCGTCCCCTTTGCTCAGGTAGGCAGCCGACCGGTTGGAAAAGTACACGTGGTTGCTTCCATCCAAGTCGATTGCCTTGCTATAATTTGCGATGGCCTCCGAGAACTTTTTGGCCTGCAATGCGGCATTTCCCAAAGCTTTGAACTAAAAGGGAAAGAATGCACGAGAGGAAGAAACCGTTGAGTGAGTTTGAGCTCGGAGTCAGCTAGCAGTCCATCGAATCGCCGATGACGCCGGAAGCAGCGAGAAACCAAAAGAAATGTTGCGAATTCTCCACTGTGCCCATATCTATTTACCTCAGCAGCAGTAGTCATATTTTTGTGCCGTCTGTGAGATTTTGTGTCGAGTTATGAATGATCCTTCTTACGACAAGCTTGCTTTTCGGTATTGTCGAAGGGAGAGGGTATTACCAAGTTTTGCTATCGATACGACGAGGGTTTCGAATCATTGAAAGGGATACAGTTCTTGACCAATACTACCAGTAGTTACGGTACGGTATGGTACTTCACGTATCACTCGTACTCTTATTGCAATGATACAGTACGAAAGGAGCATCCGTGCCGTACCAGGTACTGTACAGTACTGTACTGTACGGAAGGTTTGCGTTTCGCTAATGCGTGACCCATTTCTGTTGGACGGAAGAAGATTTTCGAAGAAATATATTATTCCTTCGGACCATGGACAGACATCAACGATACCTGGTACCCCTTGGTTGATGGAACGTACCGGTACGTACGTACTAGTAGTTGTACCAGCATAGCGGCCGGTATGGTACGGAAGAAGATTTTAGACTTTTAGACTCTTGGGTTCCAGTAAGTGTTAGGGTTAAGGTAACCCGATAGAGGAGCGGAGAGGATGCTGCAAAGTACTGAAGTAGTTCAAATAATTACTCTAAATTTGTTTTCGCGCGTTTTCAAAAATGTGAAGCGCGACAAGGGACGACGTTGCAAATTTCGACTCGTGCGTTCATCTATGCATTAAGTAAAACATTAACACGTAGTTGGAAGTCCTGTTTTTAATAATATTTTGGGACTACGTGGTTGACATAGACATGAAAAGAAGAACATCGAAGGAATGGTCGTTTGTTTCCTCCTAGCTTTGTATTTCTTACAGTAGTGAATGAAACGCAAACCTCTTGTAAGTTACACACTTCATCTTCCATTCAATTCTTTCGTCTTTCGGAGCTTGGAAACAACAACACCAACCTCGTTCAACGAGACTCTTGTGTAACTTGCGGTAGTGATACCGTACCCTTGAAACTGACCAGTAGCGCGGTCGTTCGTCGTTATCCAATGCTCAGATTCGGGCCTCTATTACGTCTTACGCCTGAAAGAATAACAACATCCAGAAACACAACTATCAACATGAGTCGCAATCCAGCAAAGCGTCGTAGAATAGAAGATGTGTCACAGGAGGCGAAAAATCCTTCCGGTTCAGTACACATCGTTGACCCTGGAGATGATCAGTCCCAGCCATCGGAAATCGAGGAACTGTACTCGTTGATCAATTCAAAAAAATGGGAAAGGGCATCGGCATTAGCGAAGAGAAATCCTCATCTTGTATCCTTATCCACCAAAGAACCTTCGATGCTAGCGCTTTCCTGTCGATCAGGGGCTCCGTACAACTGTGTGAAGCAAATTTTGGATGCTGCACCTAGCAAGCTGCGACATCTTTTGGATTCTAGAGGAACTCCCTTGCACGAAGCTGTTGTCTGTGACGAAATAGGACCATCAGTGATTGCGTACCTACTCAAAGTGGACGAAGAGCTTGATTTGGCTGCCGATGGAACGTGCAATTCGCTAAGAGCAGCTATGATTCAGGATGTAGATGGGTACACACCATTACACTTGTTGATACGTAGGCGTTTCCAGTCACATGTTCTTGCCGATTTAGACGACAATGAAAAAAGTCACTTTATTGAAATCTTGGAGTTGTTAGTAAAAAGTTGCGCTGAAGCAATAGTAATATCAGACCGAGGAGAGTATGAAGAGCCACCTATAGTGATGGCAATAAAAGCCAATGTGTATGCACCCTTGTTGCCATCGGAAGAAACCACAAATGCACGCATGGAACGCCACATTTACGATATTGTCAATTGCATGCTTCAGCATTGCCCAAAGGCTGCTAGTAGAGTTTTCAGTGGCTATCGTGGGCAATATACCGCCTTGCACTCTGCTGTGTTTCACGGGCGTTGTCCAGATACAATAGAACTTCTGTTGAAAGCCGAAAAGGAATCACCGTCAAATATTGATCAGAAAGCATGCCTGCTTGGCAACACACAGGGGGAACTTCCTCTTCATTTTTGTGCCATGCGAGGTGAACCTCCACGTACAGTTGCTCTGCTCGCCAAAGCAGCTCCAGAAGCTATTTCGCAACGAGATGCGTCAGGATTGACCCCCATGTAAGTAGCTCATCTCGTTTGGTCTTCGGGTATCAAGAAAAAGGTGAAAGTGTTAGAAGCCTCGCTAGTTGAGCTATCATTGTCGTTCAAATTATCTCACGTCGCTCTTTCTGCTCCATAAAATTTTGTAGTCACTGGTTATGGATCCGTTTCGTAAGCACTCTACTTGCCATAGACGATGGCAGAGGGAATGCAATATCTGTACCACTGACTATAAGAACCTCATCACGAAGAACAGAGAGTAATGACACAGACACATCGCGTAATTTTACCTTTTCCTCGCTGGAACAAGATAATTTTCAAGCAGACTTGATGCTTTTGAGAAAAATCGATCCTACTGTTGACTTTCTTCGTATGAGACACATTCCTACAGAAGTGCAGGAGGCAACAGAGGCATTGCAATGGGCAGAGCATGCTGCATCTGTGTTGAAGAGTGTTCGAGATTGCCTCGAGACTCTCTCAACTCAAGAAGGTGCGGAGAATGGAGAGGACAATGATAGCGAGGACGTTGTAATGTTGACCCGACTCGAAGCCATCGCAACTCTCTTCTGGATAAAAGTCGTGTCTCTTTTGAAAGCTATCGCCACAGACGAGACTAAGATCAATGTTAATGATGACCACGAAGATTTGTCTCTGGTGAGGACGGCCTTCGAAAACGGTTGCTGCCCTCCACTTGTCGGTCGCATTGTAGCATTGCTATTCCCGGCAGAGTTTTCGCAGCCAGATGGAAATGGCCGAGTTACTCTCCATTACGCTGCCATGAGGCCGTGGCATGCTTGGGAATGGCCAAGAGAAGATGGTACCAGCGATTCGGCTTCTTCAAAACTCTTGAATCTGGAATCGGCCTCCCTTTTGAGGAATGCGATGTCCCTGTCCTCAGTTGAAGCTGCCAAGCACAAGGATAAGAAAGGGTGCTTGCCGATTCACTACATGATATCAACATATATCCAAGCATGCTGTGCTAGTGGGCGCTCGTGTTCCGAAGACCCTGTGGTTGAAATGTTGGAGATTATCGGATACTTTGTGAAACTCAACCCCAACTCCCTCAATATATGTGATCCAAGAAGCGGGCTGCTGCCGTATTTACAAGCATCTGCAGAATCTGCACAAGCCATCAACAGCAACCCAAATGCGTCATCCATCCATGACAACTTTCCCCTGTCCATTGTGTACCTTCTCCTCAGACAAGATCCTTCATTGGTGCAGACGGCTTCATCTTTTTGAACAACATTCTATCCTTTCACTCCCCTTTCGAATTTACAAGATGATCTTGATATCTTTTTAAGCCCCTTTTGGTTTGATTTCACTGCAACTCGCTCTCAACAAATTCTTTCAGGTCAGAAACTATTCCAAAATGAAGGAGGCATGCACAAAAGCAAAGTTTCTAAATGATAAATAATTATACTTGTATGTGTGAAAGGAATTCAGAAAAACGTCGCAGTGCTATGCTAAAAGGGATCAATACTGATTGTGTTCACACCGTAGTGACTTGGCTCGTTAGCAGCCCAATTCGTTTGCTATTGTAAAGTATGAGCATGAAAATGTACGTCCGTACCGTACTTGCGTTAAGCTGGGAGGCAGGTAGCAGCAAAAGCATGTCATTTTAAAAGTTGAGTCAAGTGCAGTTGTTCCTAACTGCTCTTAGCCCAAGTTGTTGTGGCCCTGTCCATCCTTCTTCTGTTATTGCTCTTGGACTGGTGCCATAGGACATTCTGGGCATCTTTACTGTTGTACCGCATGTTTGTATCTTAGTAGTCTGGCTGATATTGTATGGATCTAAGTGGTTAGTAGTTATTCAAAACTTTTTTTAAGTGTTTGCCAAAATTAGGAGTTGACTTATGAGATCTTCCATCAGAACACCTACTTGTTGTTTGGTGGTAGGCCCATTGTATTCTGTCGGCACTGGAGAATGTGGGGTGTCAGCCCTAGTTCTCATTGTCATTGGCCTTGGAACTGATGTCACTGGGGGAAGCTTCCTTGGGGTCAGCTGCCTCAGGACTGAAGCGGATTTCATATGTGGCAAGGATGCCCAGGTTCTTGCTGCGCTCCTATTGCTGGCTTGATTGGGTGCCATTGTGCCAGACAGGGAACACCAGCTTACTGCCAATTTTTCTCTGGTAGACAGGTTGGATGTTGTCGTGGTTGGTGATGTCACAGAGGGCATATGGCGACCACCAGCAGGTGGCAAGGTGCAAAGTACATTGTTGTCAAGGTGGTGTGGTGGTTGACGTTTTGTGGCAAGTTGATGGTTTTTCCATCAGTGATGGCTTGGCAGGCAATTTCCATGACCACCAAATTGATGAGGCGGTTGGCATGTGATATGCCAATGTCTTTGTGTCGGCTGAAGTAGAAGTTTGGGACCAGGAGCTGGTTGAAGGTGAGGTGGTTGTGGAGGGTGTGTGCCTCGGTGGTTTTTGGGATGCTGATCTAATCTGTAATTGCCATTGGCACCTGTATCAAAGATTTTGGTGGTTTGGTGGTTGGATATGCAGAGGCACCACCAGGTGACAAGGGCCATTAATTTGGACATTGGGTGTGTCCATTCCACAAAGCAGGAGAGGGAAATAGCTGAAAAGCGTGTCACAAAATTGGTCTAGGGTGTAGAGGGGGTAGGTTTTCCCATGTGGGGCAGGGGCAATGTTGTGGCAGACCATGAGTAGGCCAGTGTAGAGGCCTGTGCAGCAATGTAGGGGTTTGGGGCTGCCACTGCCACTGCTCTTGTCCCCGTTGTCTTGATCCGCCCTTGAAGGGGAGTCATGATGTTGCTGGTGCTACCCATCTTTCGGGGGAGGGTTGTTTTTGTGCTGTCTTTGGGGGGTTTCTTGGCTGGCAGCTGATGGTGGTAGTTGGATATGTTGGAGGCATTGGCTGGTGGAGTTGTTKGTACCACCAGGTTGGCTGTAGGCATTGGAGTTGTTGCCATCTCCATTGTTGTCTCTGCTAGGCTGCTGGGAGAGGTCCAGAACATTTGGAAAAGTCATGGGCTTGGGGCTAGGGCCTGGGCTTTGTGTTCAAGGGGCTGTGGAGGGTGCCTGGTCAGTTTAGGGAGGCGGCCTCCAGTGTATCCTTGGCAAGGAGATCTCTGATGCATGGTAAGAGGAAGATGCAGAGGGCTGTGGGAATGATGTCCACAGTGCAAAGGAGGCTGATGTTGTGGGTGATAGCATCTTAAAAGTCAGTTGAGTTGCTGGTGAAGTTGATGTCACAGAGGATGGCTCCTTTGTTGACGGTGTGTGCTGGAATGTTCTCTAGTGATGAATGCATAATGGTAAGAAGGATTGAAGCTGGGCGGAACATGTTGTTGGCAGTTTGGCAGGAGGGCTCTGCTGGGGTTGCATTTGCAAAAGTCCTGGGGTGGGATTGTGAAGAAGGTTTTGGTTGCTGTGGCCTTGGTGGCATTACACAGTGCATCACAGCAGTGTGAGGTTTTTTGAAACAGAGGTACGGATTGTAAATGCAAGCTGTGAGTGGGGGGCTCATGCTTGATGCAGCCAGCAGTCATGGTAGAGGTGTCTTGGATCTGCATCTGTGGGGATGCTGTGGGGATGTTGTGGGGATGTTGTGGGGATGCGCACTGGGTGGGTGGTGTGTGTGTGTGTGTGTGTGTGTGTGTGTGTGTGTGTGTGTGTGAGTGGGGGGCTCATGCTTGATGCAGCCAGC